ATTAGCAAAAGCAGATGTACCGTAACCAATTATTGCTTATGCATGTAGGTGGGTGTGTTTCTTATGCAATAGTGTTAATGTGACAGTATTTATCTCATTTTTATTTCTCTATAAATTTAAAACATTGTTTATGTTAATGGGCATTGGAAAAGAAGTATCCCTGAACAAAACAGTATGAATTATCCATAAATGCTTCCATTTATATTTGTTTACAAATGCATGATGCAGAATTATTATTTGGTTATTAAAAATATATTAACTTGTTTTGTATTTATGCCTACATTTAAGTTACATGTTGTTCCTTGAAAACAATGAGAACATGGCTAGTTTATATCATTTTATAGTATGGCATGTGGTTATGTATATTATATATTATATATTTTGTTTTATATTGCTTTATATCTATTTGCCATCATTGTTTTGTAGCTGTATTTCCATCTCAGTCACTTGACAAATGAGGCCGATTTTTATATAACAGGTTTTGTTTTTTTTTTAAACACAGAATTGTTTAATCTGTATAATTATGCCACACATATAATCTCCCTGTTCTAAAGTGTGTATTTATCGTGGGATAGATATGACAAAAGTTTCAAAATTATTTAAGGGGGTGGGGGTCACAAGGGCTTGGTTTTGTATGTACTCGTTTTCCTTTTGTGTACTTAAGGGTGTGCCAGATTGAGTTTTGTGGGAGTGGGAGGAGGGGGGGGGGGGGCAGGTGTGCCCCTCTCCTGGATCTGGTACTGATACAAAAATGATATCGCATGGAATCTTGAGAGTTAATAGAGAACCTGCACTTTTAAGTTCTATCCTAGGGACTTGCTTTGTTATCCTGAGTCAATTAATATGAGACCTTCCATGTGCATTGAGCTCCCTCTCCCCTGTTTTTTCTCAAATGGTTGATACAACCATTCAGCTTAGAAATGTCACTTTTCATTCATTAGTTCCATCTGTATAAAACAAGTCACTGTAAAAAGGTATTATGTTACCTCCCCTCTCCATTTGTAATTTGACTATTATTAATATATCACTTAACACAGTTGGTCACAATGCATTTATTTAGACACATACGTTCATTCATTATCATTATATTTAAAGCATTCATAATTATCCAAAATTAATGGCAGGATTAATGACAGTGGGCAAAGTAAAACATGGGTCGAACTTGGGTCCACCAATTTATGGTATGCCAAATGTCAAACTCTTTATTTGGTATGAATTAAAGGTACTATGTCCCTTTTGCAGCCAACCTCAAATGCTGTAGAACTTTGCAGGAATTATGAATATGTCATGTATGTCCTATCTGTGAAATTTAAACGTTAGCAGTGTCCTCATATTCAAATTATGCAAGGAAACCCGTTTACTTGCTAGACTTCACTGTCAGACACTATTGAGTGACTGACTGGCTTTTTTTCTTCTTTGGTAATAACATACATGAAAAGAGTTGTAAAGGGTACATGAGCATTTGTCTACATCAATAACCCACTTCTTGTGATGGCCAAGATTAAACTGATTGAATCTTTGCGCAGCATAAAACGTATGACCATTCGGTACAATTGTCTGAAAGTCAAGACTATTACTTTTGGGCTCTATATCCCTAAAGTCGATTTGACAACTAATAGTCGTTATTTTCCCACTTGAAGACATTTTCAAGCCCCACCTTTTTTAGGGAAGTTCTAAATTAGTGTTATCTTTCAAATGCAGTTGGAATTTAACTTTTTCATTTTTTTGGCCTGCAAATGGGACATAGTACCTTTAATGTAATTCTGTTTAAAGATTTTTTTTTTTAAATGAAGAAAAACAAATAATGAAATTAATTTAATTAAGAAATGAAAAAAGAACTCAACTTTATGACATTATTACTTATGTTTATTGATTTCTATAAAGTACTGTCAGGGGTCATCTATCTTTAATGTAAAAATGTGACCACTTGGCACTCCATAATAAATTTCTCGCATTGCCTAACGGACTTCAACCTAGGAGCCAGTTTCACAAAGCCATCATAAGTCTAACTGTAACATCCCCATAGAATCGTGAGAATTTACACATGTTTCTATCGGATGTCTGCGAACTTAAGACTTTTGACAGTTTTGAGAAACTGGCCCCTGATTCCAAACAGACCGATTTTCTTCCATTCAGGCTAATATACATTTTTGTTATATCTATTATCGTTCTGGTTTTTATCTCGTTGGTTTGACTGAAGAATGAATCAGTCGATCAAATCGACCTTCTTCTAAGAAAGGTTGAGAGTGGCAAATGTGAATTAGAGTCTTGCAAATGTGAATTAATGTCTGGCAAATGTGGATTAGAGTCTTGCAAATGTGGATTAATGTCTGGCAAATGTGGATTAGAGTCTTGCAAATGCGAATTAATGTCTGGCAAATGTGGATTAGAGTCTTGCAAATGTGGATTAATGTCTGGCAAATTTGGATTAATGTCTGGCAAATGTGGATTAATGTCTGGCATTCATCTACATTAGTCACTCTCCACCCAGTTGGAAAGTTATACCCAATAGTGATTCTAATAATCGCTATATAAAAACTGAGTATTACTATTATTATTATTATAAGCTAAGGCTCTACATACTTGGGCCCAAGCTGTGACTGGGGTAGACATGTGCGCTATATAAGAGGTCACCATTACCATTAAACATAACATGGATTAGGGCTGGCATACTTTTATGATTACCCGTCAACATGTATGTATATTCGCAATCTTTATCATGTACATCGTGTATTTATCTTTGTTATGTTGCTCTGCGATGGTAATTTGTATATTCCTTGGCATTCTATATAATACAACTGGGGGGGGGGGGGGGGTGTTTCACAAAGAGTAAGATCGACTTTAGGTTGGACTTAACTATAGCAGGCCTTTCGTGCCACTAGTTGCTCTCACCATTTGTCTCTTAATTATGATCTTTAGATAATATTTTTTCCTTTAATAATGAACCATCACAAAGTGTAAATTCTGTAGATTAGTGACCACGGTTTGTACCGTCCCTTGAGAGACCAATGCCAGTAAATAGTGAGAGCAAACAGTGGCATGAACAGCCTACCATAGTTAAGTCCAACTTAAAGTTAATCTTAGTCTTTGTGAAACACTCCCCTGATCTGTAATTTATGCGTGGCTTTATGTGGGGATATGCAACGGGAGTGAAAGATGAGCACAGAGTCTGTGTAGTGTAGGGGGGGGGGGGGGGTAATGAGGAAATTCATCTTGAATATTCGATATATTCGGAGATGGTCAATTGTACAGTGATGGTGATAACTAATTCCAATTTTTTGATCATGCATATTCAGAGAAAATAAATGATTTGTGCAATAGCAAAACTGATTGTATATCTTTTTTGTAAAGTAGAAATTTATTCTTTTTTTGTTTGTTCTTTTTGTTTAACCATGTTCATGTACATGGGGCTTTTGAATTTGATTAGGAGCTGAGATAAGAAAGAGAGAGTGAGGGAGGGAGGGAGAGAGACATGAATAGTGAGAGATAAAAGAGATAAGGTTAAAAAGAAAGGGAGAGAGAGAGAGAGAGAAAGGGGGGGGGGTAGAAGAGATAAAAATGGTGAGAGATAAAAGAGAAAAGGTTACAAAGAGAGAGAGAGAGAGAGAGAAAAGAGTGGGAGAGAGGTAAGAGAGATAGGAGGGAGGTAGTCTGAGAGAGAGAGAGATATATATATATATATATATATATATATATATATATATATATATATATATATATATAGGAATAGCGAGAGATAAAAGAGATAAGGTTATAAAGAGATGGAGAGATGGGAGAGAGATGAGAGAGAGAGAGAGAGAGAGAGGGGGGGGCAAGAGAGATAAGAGGGAGATTATGAGAGAGATAGGAGAGAGAGAAAGAAAGATAGAGGAGAGATACTGGAGAGAGATATGAGGTAGATAATGAGAGAGAAAGGAGAGAGAGAGAGAGAGAGAGAGAGAGAGAGGGGGGGGGGGGTTGGGGGGGGGGGGGGGGGTGGGAGGAGAGAGAAAGAGGGGGTGGGGGATTAAAATTAGCAAGTTAATTGGATGTTGAAAAGTAACGCTTCCAAATTTCCAGGGGGTATTTCGTATCCTGAAAATTACTTAATCTCTGCATTTTGTTTGATTCTTTTTTTTTAAACGAATTGAAATGATATAAGATTGGCCGGTGTTACAACAGGTCTACTCGCTCTGGATTATATATTCTTTTGTTCATTACACTTAAAGTCTTAAAGTCTTTGACATTGTACAAAAAAAGCTTTGCTACCTGAGGGCAACTACCATTTATTATCATGGTAGTTTGTACTTAGAAAGTCTTCTTGATAAAGCATATAAAGCTATGGTCACAAATCAGAGCAGCGACCGACCGATCAGTAGCCTGCTCGGTCGCTGCTGGAATTAGGCATCGCCCAGCGATTAGGTCGGTGCCCGGGCGGCGACCGCCCAGGCACCGAGCGTATTTTGGGCGGCGAGTGAAAAGTGAGCAGGCGCCGCCCAAATTTTAACTCCGCGCTAAAACTTCAGCGGCGACCGAGCGATGCCCTAAAAACGAGCGGTGCCTGGACGGCAGCCGCTCGGTGGCTGGGCAGCCGCCGGGCAGAATTGGTTAAAAACTCGCCGCTCGGCCGCCGAGCAGTCTACTTTTGGGTAATGTGACCATAGCATAACGGTGAGCTTCTCTGTTTCCGTAATGATCTCTTTTGCGCCCACAATAGGCCTTTGACTTTATACATGCCTGCCTTCTGTCTGCGGATTATACCCCAAAATCCTTTTACTTTTGGGACACACTCAATGCCTTTTTACAAAAGGGCAACCCTCCTTGAGCAATAGTATACAACCACGTTAAAAAGAATCTTTTGTGAAAGAAAAGAACACCGATATAGTGCATGTATGCGTAAGCAAATGAATGGGGAAAGGGAACTCGAGAGCTTTCTCTTTTACGTAACGCACGACGGGAGCTTTTGGACGTACTGTACTGTGCGCCATAAATGCGTACACGTAATGTATAGCTACCTAGTAGATCCACACCGGTGTTCACTCTTACCGGCGGATCAGAGAGTAACGCTAAGGAATTTTGATTCAGTCCTATTTATCAGTCTTAATCATACGTTTTACGGTGTATATATCGGAAGCTTCTAAGCAGTCAACATTTTTGGAATAGTGTGCTTATTTTACAGCTTCGCAAACTGAGAGTTCTAACTTGATAGCCAAACTGGTGGATAATTCTCTTACAGATTTTGCAGACGACAAGGAACTGAATATATGATATTGATATAAAACCACATTACGTCGTCTCGTCTCATGGTGACCTTTATATAGGTGGTTGCAAATGATGTCATCTGGTAAAGGCACCGAAACGAGATCGTTGGCGATGTCACGATCAGTCGATGTCAATTCACAGTCAGACATGAAAGATGTTATAAAGGTAATTGAGATGATTTATTGTGATTTAAATGATGAGAGCTATACTTACTAAATATTATGTGCTGATTGCAAAATTAATAATACCTCTCTCTTTCTCCTATTTCATCTACCTCTTACCCTATTTTATATCCGCAAGGACATTTTTGTATTGTTTTCTTATTTCTTTTTTTTCTCTTAATTGTTCTTATTCTCCCCCCTTAATTCTCCTCTTCATCTTCGTCATGATGTTCCTCTCCTCCCCACTTTTCACTTTACTATCGGAATCATCATCATCATCATCATCATCATCACTATCACCATCATCACCATCACCATCATCATCATCATCATCATCATCATCACTATCACCATCATCACCATCACCATCATCATTGTTGTCATCATCTCGATCGTTCACATTCTTTAATTCTTCTGCTGGACAAAATTTCTTCTTAAGTTGTTGGCCCTTAATATAATAGGCTATCTTTAGTTTCATCTCCTCTTCAATCTGACATTATCTTTAAAAAAAAAATTCTTTAGTTATCCGTTTCATATATTTTGATTTCCGTATGTTTCTTCATTTATGCTAGCAATTGAATATTATGCAAGAGACTATATGAATATTAAATTGCAAACTATAATAAGAAACTGTCAGTTGTAGCAGTTATTGTAGTGGCAGTGCATGTACATGTATAATAGAAGTAGTAGTAGTAGTAGTAGTAGTAGTAGTAGTAGTAGTAGTAGTTAGCAGTCTTCGTCGTCATCGTCATAGTACGTAACAGCTCTATCAACTGCATGAGCAGGATATATAAATACCACCACGATAATAAATAAATTTAATTACACATATACATTAGTTTCGAATCATGGATTTATGCCAAAGTACATTTAAATACTAATTTCTTTTCCGGATATTTCGAAAATGATGTTTATAATTAACTGTCAATTTAATACAAATGTTATCGAGTCAATGTCAACACAAATTGTCTCAATTTCCTTCAATGCACTAAAGAGGCTAAAAACAGGTAACATTTGATTTACATTACATTTGTGTTACCTCCTCTTCAGATTCGTATATATTTATATCACTTTCAGACGAAATATCAAGGAAGGGGGGGGGGGGGGGGGGGGGGGGGGAGGGGGGAGGGGGGAGGTACATGTAGAAGGGGAAGAGAAAAATAAGGAATCAATATCAATTTTAGTAGGCAAAGATATCGACAGAGGTGATTGTTGCCCATAAAGTTTGAATAATTTTTCGTATCTCTTTTCATAAAATGTTTGCGACAAAATGATTTATTCTTGCTAGATTCTTAGATAAATATTTCTTTCAAAACTTATATATATATATATATATATATTTCTTTCAGAACAAATATCGGGTGGGGGTTGAAAATGGTAGGAGGGAAAGATAAAATAGGAATCAGTATTATTTTTAGTTGGCAAAGGTATAGACAGATCAAGAGGTATATATCTACACTGTTGCCAATGAAGTTGTAGCAATATTAATTTTCTCACCTCTTGTCATCAAATGATTGTGATAACATGGTTTATTGTTGATAGATAATCTTAGATCTTCTCAGAACTTCAGGGTTAAAAGTATAGACCAGTTTCGGAATATGTTTTGACTAATACGTGGTGATACAAATTTTGCCGGGAAACCGCCTACTAATTGATGTATTTTGTAAATTATCATATCGATCCGGCTTGGATAGATATTGCGAATGTATTTCAAATTGAACATTTGGGCATATATTTCTGCTTTTTTGCGAATGTAGGTTGAAGTAATGCGATCTAAGCCTCTGAAGGCAATATTTAAACAATATTGAATAGACATTTTTCACCCAAAATCCTTGAACCGCAATTTTACGACAACCAGTCTTTACCTTAAATCTTTGTTGATCAATAAACTTTTGAGGAAGTACAAAACTTTATCAATAAAAAATAAACCACTTTGTCAAAATAACTAGGAGGTAAGAAAATTTTGTTCTAACTTTAATAGCATCAGTTTGTTGTTTTTTCTCTTTCAAATGAGAAGGGTATGTTATAACTTCAGAATGAAACCTTGTTTTTTCTCCAAACGTCCTTGCCATGTTCGTGTATTTTGGCAACCATGCGTCAACTTTTGCCCTCCATTCTTTCTCTTTAGAATTTGGATAATGGAGTGTTCTTAACCAAAGGATAAAATGAGAGTGTGCATATGAGTCCATACAATCGACTAGCATTGTTACTTTGTGTAAATAATAAATCAGATGGTAATCTGTACCTCCAGCCTTCTGTGTATTTAAATCGATGGGCGAGGGCTGCGCTATATATTATGAATATTCATTTTTAAAACAACTGGTGGAGTGGAATAATTACCCCCTCACATTGTGGGTAGTATAGAGACAAGGTAACGAATGACGTAAATGTGGCACATGACGAGGCAGGTTCGTTTACAAGCTGAATGTTAGAAAAACAGAACATATCACTCCTAAATTGATGAATAATACCTTGAAAATTGCACAACAAAATTAAAATTAATATACACTACATGTAATTGAATTATAAATAAAATCTCCTTAGTTCTGAAGTTTATGAGCTAGTCACAATGTCTGACAATTCTATTGAAAAGCGTATTGAAATGTAAATTAATGTTTTATGTCACCTTTTGAAATACTAAGATCATATCAGACACTTCGGGTAATTGAAGGATGTACATTTTTTACATGTAACTTTTTGAAGTTTACTTTGCTTTCAATGAAATTATTATTTTCAGTACAGATGCTTTATTTTACTATTCAATCACATAAAGCAGGCGATGTGTTTGCTTTATACATTCGACATTGTCATGCCGCTTAAGATTAATTATTGAAGAGTAACACATGACATGTCTTCCACGAAAATGCCAATTTGTAGACTGTGGAGAATGTTAAGGGGGCATTGTTGTATGGGTGGGGTCTGTCTTTACCCACTTTTTAAACGCATTTTTGACCTCTTGGCGACTACTAGTATAGTTCAAATGTCTCTTATGTTTGCAAAGTGTAGCTATGCCACTCAACGTAAATAATGGGGTCCAGATACAAAAGGGCAATAATGGAAAAGGCCATGATTGTATTCAAAGGTTCTTCATGAGAGCAAACATCTTCTTCCACTTGTACTCTGAGAGATAAGCACTTGGGTAAACTCTTCATCATTCATACCCCTTCCACGTGGTATCGTTAGCTACCAGCGGTGGGAGTATAGGAGAGGGGCTTATAAATAGGTGTGGTCCATGCAGGGCGGTTTAAGCCCCCCCCCAGCTTAAAAATAAATAAATTGCGAGGCACATATAGGAAATGATTGTAAGAACCAAAGGTCCTCAATCCCCTTCTCCCAACAAATTATTTCTCCAGAACCGCCTTCGATGCGGCCCTTTCCATACGTGGCAGTATGATTAAAGGAGGAACATATTATGGATGCCTCAGAATATTTAAAAATGTTGATACTAATGATTTCCTGGCAGCAGGGATGTCGATCTTTGTCTTACAGTAACTAATAAATTGTAATTATGATTTGGACGTAAAATGCAGCAACGGTGTGTATAACTGTAATGAAGTGTCCAAATAAAGAAACTGGAAAGTTGATATTCAGGGAAAAAGACGCCACGCAGATTTCTCGTGACTAAATGTTGCCTGTATGCAGTGGTGCTTGTAGCAAGATTGTACGACACAGGCATGCACCTGCAACAATTGTTCCTCGTCAGTTTCCTACTCAACCAAATTTCGACTCCAACCCTGGACCTAAAGCTGTACCTAAGCCTATAGACCTAAGCCTAAACCTAACCTGAATCCTATTTGCAACCCTTACCATAACCCTTTGATGAACTAAAGCCCCGATCAATTGTCGTAGAAGCAATTTATTGTTTGGTCACCCGTACAAGTGCAGGGACACAGCGTAGACATATTACTATGTCAGAGGCACAATATTCCCTTTTGAATGGCAAGAAATTGCGGGAGAGGGAAAGAGATAGAAAAGGAGTAAAAAGGTTAAGGAGGGGTGCCATGGTAATATGAATAAGGACAATATTTTATGACTCGTTCCACAACAATTTTTTCCTCAAGGATTTCATACAACCTAATCTAGTCAGGGGTGGATATAGGGGGGGGGGGGTTCGGCGGTTTACCCCCCCCCCCTGGGCGCCCAAGTGAAAAAAGGGGGAAAAGAGGGGGGGGGGGGGGGAGAAGAAGAACAAAAAGAAGGAAAAAAAGCAAAAGAGTAAAACGGCGCGATATTTGGAAAGTCCTGGATCCGCCACTGGGTCAACCCCCCCCCTTGTCAAAAAGCTAGATGCGCCCCTGCTAGTAACTATACCGTTGCCCCCCGTGATAACAGTGCCCCTTCAAAATGCCGAACCCATATGCTACGCCGCTTCCCTGACGCCTATGAATAAATTGGTATAACATTTTACAGATGGGTGTGGTTCTATTGTGTCACACAGTCAATGAAAGAAATTTATGAATGAAGTTTTGAGCATTTTGGTACACTCGTTGTTCTACCCGTGTGAAATACCGTTGCTTTGTTCCACGAGGGTGGGAGGAGGGCGCTGGCGGCAGTGAGAAAGAAGAAGTAAATATTTAAGTACTTGGAGGACATCAGCTGTCGGCTAAATGCTAGCGCTGGACGCTTAATGTAAAGTTTTAATGAAGCTTCTATATTCACGGTTAAAGTTCGTTTGTTGTAACTGGTGTAGATTTGTTGAAGGAAGGGGAGGGGGGGGGGGGGGGGTGGTAGGGTTAAAGTCTTCATGGATGATGGACATTTTTTCATTTAGCGGATGAGCAGGGGGGGGGGCATCCACTGTGCCCTTGTGTGCCTTGGCTACGCCTATGTTTGTAGTTGACGACGTAATATATACAAGAATGTTGCTGGTCTAGATTAACTTATTTATGACTGAGATAACCTTTTCTACTTGTACAAAAATGCGTAATTTGTCTAGTATGGCCTTCTGCCTTTAAAATTGCCTCTAGTTTCAATTTTAATTTTGAATTGTTGTATCCACAGAAGTGTCCAAATTAACACATTTATTTTCAGTAAAATGATTGTAACGTGGTGTTTCACACTGACTATACAGTGGCGTACCCACCTTGTTTAAGCAATGTATTTTACTTTTGGCGGTGTGGAAGGATTTTACACAGGATTACCAAAATTCTATTTTGAATATCGGTATCTTGATTTTAGAAAAGGAGAATGTGTGCTATACACACATCATGAATTATTCTGTATAATAGCAGTTTTCAGCATTGAAGTATAACTGAATCATAATCACATTTACAAAAGCTTAGATACAATGAAAAAAGATCAACGTTGGAACTTAAAAAAAAAAACGCTACCCATCTTTGAAAGAATGTAGTAGCAGTCTGTGTAGTAGTGATGCATTTTCTTCTCATGAGGGTGATATGCCGTTTGCCCACGAGGCGTCATTTCGAAAGCGTCATTAATGATATACTGCAGGCTATATGAAGCCAATAGCGTACATGCTCCAGTAATTCAGAGCAATGTTGTACTTCTTCTTTTAAATTACCATCGTGTACGATATCATTTTACATGGTGCGTCAAACACACTGACGGTCATTGACGCAGCCCTATGCTTGTCAGCAAATGACGCATCCTAATGTAGTGCGCATCGCCTCCTAAACCATATTCTAATTCTTTCTTTCATTGTATTTCATTGATCTACAGGTTGTTCTCCTGAAGGTGGCAAACAAGACAACTTCTCGTTATGGCGTCACCCTCTTCCTCTTCTGTTCATCCCTGTGGCTTCTCATTCAGGCCTTTCTCGCCCTGCACAACGGCTGCTGGATAAGCAACCCACAGATTCTCAGCAAGATCAAGGAAAAGACGTCAGCCGACTGTCGAATGTCGCCAAATTTGGCGGGAATCCACAGAGAAGAAACCGAGGGTGTGCACAGTCGAGAGCGCATCCCAGATGCCTTGCATCTCTTATCGCGGCAGGAAAGCGGCGGTGCTGTTGATGTTGAAAGGGCAGTGTTTAATGTCATTGTCGAAATGGGAGTCGCTGCCCCCGCCGAGGTGCCGGTTACTATGGCCGAGGGGGATGCACAAGGGGGGCAGCGAAAAGAGAGTTTGAATGTTCCCGAGAGTGAACGAGAAAAGAGGTCGGAGGATAAATCAGTGGCCACTCAAAATGGTACAGAGTCAAAGAACGACAAGAAAATAATATCGCAAGAAAAGACTATTGTTCCAGAGAGACAGACTGTCAATGAAAACGTCCCGGTTAATACCCAGGCAATCAAAACAAACAATGAGACGACAATGAAACATTTAGGTAGGGAGCCTACATTGAAACCGTACATTCCGCTTCTACCTGGGTCGGGTGTCTCGGCCCTGAAGCCTGTCCCTTACACGCTTCCAAGGAACATTTCCAAGGATATCGTCAAGATCACCAAAGATTCTTGGGAGACCATGGGTTGCTTCAACCGCGTCACGATTTTAACCCCTGGTACGAACGCACTGCCCAACGACAGCGAGTGGCAGGAACTGTACCAATCCTTTAGGAAATACCGCATGGGATACTACCTTCTCCAATGCCCTGAGAATGTGTGTGATCTCATCTTACGTGCGAGTACTTCAGCGAAGACTATCGCAGAAGGCAGCGCAGTGCTCGTAGGACCAGGCACGAAGAGCATGCGCAATAAGACGCGCGTGATTATGGAAGAAGTGAAGCGTCTTACTCCGGACAATCTCCTTAAGATCTACCTTTTCTCTCTGGACAGCTCTCCGATGATGAACTACTACGATCCATCCATGGCGAATTTCGAGTACCATTACAGCATGACGTATCATTCCCAATCGGATGTGCCGATACCTTACGGTCGGTATCGCAAAGGGGTTGGCGAAGAAAGCGCGCGGAATTGGGCAGAAGGCAAGAAGGGTCTCGTAGCATGGGTTGAAGACAACTGCGACAGAACATTCTGGCCGCGCATCGAGTACGTACGCGAGCTCAGCAAACACATTTCTGTTGATATGTATGGGAAATGCGGGAACAGGACGTGCGCGTCGACGCACTGCAAGGAAGAACTTAAAGGCTACAAATTTTACCTCTCGCTGGAGGAGGCGGCCTGCGACGAATTCATTACGCTAAACTTTTGGCAGCGCGCTCTGTCGTCTGGTGCAGTGCCCGTGGTTTACGGCGGAAAGAAATTCGCCTACACGAAAGTTGCTCCTCCAGATTCGTTCATCCACATAGCTGACTTTGAGTCTCCTGCAGCACTGGCAACCTATCTTTACAAACTCAGCGCGTCAGATTTGGAGTACAACAAATTCCACCAGTGGCGGACTTTGGGTTCCGTCCAAATTTCCGGGCCAGGGTTCAGCTTAGATTCTCTATGCGGTATGGTGCCACAGCTTATACATTTGTCACCGCCTAATAGGAGAGTGATGTCTAGAGGGAAGTTTTACAGGAGTTGTCGGAAGGGTATCTATGTGAATGGGTTAGCAGGGTCAGGTGACCTTAGCAACTGGGCACCTTGGAGATAACCTAGACATCATTATAGTTCCTATACAAAGAGACATAAAATTACAGTTCAGCGTCCTGCGATCAAATGAGAGACTCATACAAGGAGATGATGCGATGATTTTTTTTTTTTTTTTTGCTGAATTATATTATAAAAGAAAGCAGTATTATTTGAGAATTAACATGCTATTGGTCTTCAAAGATTGTATCACTCAGTACTTTTAATGTAATTTGGTTTCATTTAGTCATCTTTGCCGGCTGCAGACGCTACGTCATTATCTTTGCGGCTCTGCGTCAATACAGACATTCAAGCCTACTGAATGCCGGCTGCCCGTGGGTCCCTTGTGTACGTCGTTCTATGGCGTTTTAGACATACGAATGCAAAAGACACCAGACAACGACGCAACACGTTGACGCAGGGGTGCCTTGGCCTATAGTGTAAGACTATGCATTTGTCCAAACAAAGTCGGCGTTGACGCAACAGCAGCGTAGCAAATGATCAAATCCACACAAGCCAAAATTACGCACGGAAAATTGGGTTGGATAATCTTGTGAACAGTCGCTCACTGTTTAATTTGGATTGAGTGACTTTTAAATGAACAATTGACGGAGGGACTTAATTGACGCTTCGTGAGCAGCCGGGATATGTGTAGCTTGAATTCTCTTCAACTGGCCGAATCAAATGACGCCGGGAAGTTACGTTTTATGTGCAGTTGCTATTTATGTGATATGAATTATTGGATGAATCATTTTTTGTAAGTGACGCATGTCTGCAGCCGGCATTAGAAACTAGGAATTAATGTCGTCCCTGAAATATCTAGGCAAATCATTCATTCTTGAAAGGACGGAGAGTTGCATTGTCATTTGAATACATATATTAGGTTACAAAGATTTTTTTATTGAATATGAAGGTGAATTGTTACGTTTAGTGAAATGTCAATTTGTATCAAAGGGGTACCGGGTAATATTGTCGCATAACAATTCAAAGGCCTGTTATTGACAGAAATGTGAATAATCCTTTTACCTGTATTTGATTAATTAATGTCGGAAGGAGTTTTTTTTTTAGATGAAGGAAAAACGATGTCGAAATTTCATTTGAAGTACGGCTTTAAACAAACAGAGCCTTTTGATCTTTAATAATACCGTGTTTAGTATATCATAGTTTTCGGGAAGTTTAAATAGTGCCACAAGGAGTGTTCTATGTGATGCGATGACAGGTATTCGTCTGCTAAACTTTGTTAAAGGTCGAGACTTGTTTGGAAGCTTATAATGTTTAATTTGATTAATCTCTTGTGTTATTTATTCATCGGTTGGGTGAAGCTCGTATGTGGGCGAATTTAAAGTGGGGTCTAAAAGACGCCGATATTTTTCGTGCAAGATTAAAGTGTGTCAATATACGATACTGACAATGATAGAAGTTCTTTTTTTTCGACGAGTGTTTTTTCGGGGGCCGTGCTTGCTGTCTGTAATGCGTGTAAGGGATGACAGCGATAATTGAAGAATAACAAAATTGAACTGACAAAAACAGACAGATCAAGGACTTTGCAGATTATTGAAATGATCAAACTGGAGTAGGGCAGTAGGCCTACTATACGTTATTTGACGACAATCGTTCGAGGGAATCTTTCCAGGAATTACTTGCTATCAATACAAGGACAAGGGTTGATTACGTGTTCATTCCTAGCCTCGGTTGGGTGATCGAGGCTCGTATATGGGCGATTTTTAAGTGGAGCTTGAAACACGCCGACATTTTACGGGCAAAATTGTAAAAGTGTGTCAATACGAAATTGACAGTTATAAAAAAGCGCGCAATAAACTCTCAAAAGGGCCATTTTTTATCGGTACGTTGTCTATCAATGTGTAAGGATTGGAAGGATGATATAAGAGTTATACAGTCAAACCTGCTTTAGTGACCACCTGTCTACAAAGACCGAAATTTTTGTTTCCCTTGAAAATGGTTTCTCATTGAAACATGTACTTAAGAAACAAGTCTACAAAGACCGCCTGTCTACAGAGACCACTTTTTGTGTTTCCCTTGGGTGGCCGCTATAGACAGGTTTGACTGTACATTGAATGGTGTCACATTTAACATACTTATTTTACTTGAATCTTTCAAATATACTTTATGTTCCATTTGATATTGGTTGTTCCATTGACTGGAATTGTTAACAAGTAAATACAGACAACCACAAACAAATATTTATGGAGTTTCATTGACTGAAGCACAAACAAGCCAGACACAAAATAATGTTTTCTTTGTCTATATGCTCTTTATTCACAATTTCTTCCTCCAAATGTCCATCGGGAAACAGCATGATCTACATATTTGAGGGTTCATATATTGCGATGTAAAATCCAAGGCTTGTACTCACAAAGGTGGAATACGATAAAAGGTAGGCATTATGTAATCAGTTGTGATGGCACATTTATAAATATAGCCACAATACATTTGCACTCAGCTCCGTCTATTTTGTTTACACAAAACTTGTCATCCGTGACAGCTTTGTTACGAGCTAGTGAAATCCTAGCTTCTGATTGTTTAGCAGCAGATTTGTCACTGATTTTTGTCATTTGTCATTGAAAAAAGGCTTTGTGAAACGGGTCCCAGGTAGGCTTAGGGTATTAAAGAGTCGTGGCTATTTTTTTAAATTATAGAAACACGCCTTTACAACTGATTACATAATGCCTACCCTAAGATAATCCCATCCCATCTCCCTGTCTAGACCAAGCCCATCGAATCACAGGATACACAGAGCAGCAAGTGTCTTGCTTTTTTATTCCGTACAAATTACTGTAATTCTTTATTAACAAAAAATGGAACAAATCCAGTTAGGAAATGAAAATGTGAAATTTATTTAATGCTGACATGATTTTGTATTTGGTCACCCAGTTACAGAAAGTTACAGAAGATTGGCACATGGTGCTCCATTAAAGTTCCAATTTAAAGTTAATGCACATTGTATGAATATGGGCCTAAGTCCTCATTAATCTCCCTTGGTGCACTGGCACAGCGCAATATACATATATATGATATAGCGACATAGCAAATTTCCATCTTTTGTGAATAGTTTCTATCATTTGTATATAATATATATTTATTATACATACACAGACTTTATACCATATGTACACTTTATACAGCTTTCTTCATTGGTTTAAATACACTATCAAATTTTGGTATTCCATAATTTTAAAACAAATAGTTGGAAATGTATATATTTCCTTGGTCTTCTGTAGTTGGTGCTATGTCAGGAATAATTCTCGCATCCTTGGGCAAGATGATGAATAGTAAATGAGAGGAGTAATGGACATAAGTTTAGACTGGCTTCACCTCTTTGCTATTGCAAATGCAGACCACATGTCAGATTTGCTTATATTTGCACACATGACTATTTGATGAGTAAACAAATTTTGTTTTTATATGATATACATGTATACATCTCTCTTTTGCGAATAATGCTGCAAGAAGTATTTCTGCCATAAATAATTGTTTTTCTTTCAAAATTAAAAGTATTATACATGTGTGGCATTTTTGTATAAATATTCAATCTATCAATATATTTATTTATTATAACTCTGTATTTGATATACTCTTCTTAATTGTTATTTTATTACACACTTAAAAGGTGGGTTCAAAAAGTATTTAACATTTCGAATAAATATTTCCAGGAAAAAAAAAATCAAGATGACAAAATCAAGCTGTCATTACAACATTAATGGAAACAACTTATCGTTACTTTTATATATATTTTTGTTTTATATAATCAACATTAATCTTTAGTTTAATACAGTTCTACTGTTATGTGATTGTGGGTAATATTTCTTTGAAAATATTTTACACCTAACAATCATTTATTTTTGTATTAAATTATGATTTATAACCCGAATACATTGCTTCGATATCCCTTTTTTTTAACATACAATAGTTGTTAAGAGAGAGAAAAGATGAAAGAAAAGTGACTGTGTGTTTGTGAGAGAGAGATAGAGAGTGGGTATACAAATAAGAAGGGGAAAGGGAAAGAGAGAGGGATGAAGGAAAAGGAGTGGGACGAAGGAAACACGAGGAGAGATAAAAAGAGGGAAAGAGAGAGAGAGAGAGAGAGTGAAAGAGGTGGATGGAGAAGTTGTGACATGAGAAAAGAAGAGTAGAGAATGGGGAGAAAGAAACAGAATAAGAAAAAGATGATTTTAAGAAGGAAAGTCTAAACAAAATGGAGGAAGAATGATGAAAAAATAAGGAAAGGATAGATATATATCGATATGGGTTCAAAGTCCTAATTCTTTGGCCCATTTCCCCGCTGTTGAATTTTACTGAACCATTAAACACACATTTCCATTTCTGGCATTGGTATGTAAAACATGATTTTCTGGGAATATACAATTTTCTCTATAAATGCGATACTTCTTTGGCTCAATGTAAAGATAGATTTGCACATAAACAATTATAAATGTACATGTATATGGAATCTGGCATAAATAAATTTATCCTACTTGAACAAATTTAATTTGTCTAGAAAATAGAAGTATGAGAATGGATAGTAACATAACAAAAAACACTATAAAACCAAGTATAAATACATAAATAATTCAATTCATTTACAGAACACAACAAAATCTGATAGCTTGCAAGTAATTTATAACAGATATACATTTAAGCACATACGCCAATAGTTATTCTCACCATGGATGTTCATAATGCACGCATACCCAAACAATGATGTTTAATAGCAAGTTGCTATGCATTGCAAGCAGGAATATATAAATGTAATGGCTAATTTATATGTTCATTCTATGAGATTAATGCTGCAAAATGATTCCTTTCTGACAAAGCAAACACAAATGGAGAGTGATATTGGATGAATTACAGTGAAGGTTTGTATAAGTGATAAATGTTTATATGAACCATCATGCAAAAACCACAAGGGCAAATAGAAACTGCTTCTTGATATAGCATGTACAAATCACTAATAAAAGACGAATGTCACTGAAATCAAATATATTGCAAAACAAATCGGTCATTCATTCACAACCTGATTTATACAAAGAAAAAACACCCTGTAAAATATTTAGACCTCTTAACTTTTTGACAATGGTACACTAAACATAATCGTTATGTAATGCTCAAAGTGAAAAGTGTTTTCTATAAAACCATAAAATCATATTCTATTGATAGATGTATCTCTTATGCCAAACAACAAATGCAACTAAAACGCTTTTCTATGAAAAGACAGCAAAGAAGGAAAATATATAATATTACATGAAATCAAATCATTTACTTTTCTCAACGGATATGTGGAAACATAAAACAAAGGCTACTGTTATACGCACTGGCAAGTTAATCATTAAGCATCCTCAAATTGGCAATTTTGTAATATATTTACATATAATCATATATAAGATCATTATTTTTCAAATCTCATTTTAATCTTACAGAAAAGGTGTTATAGCAATAACAGCAACAAAATCAACAACCAAATTAAAATAATGAATGGATGAGTGAAACAATTAACTCTAAATAAGCGTTTCTTTTTGAATAAAATACTAATAGAAGCATGAATTATTGCTAATAAAAAGAAAATGAACTGCATTTTGTGCACCACAGAACAAAAAGTTAGCATGACAACAAAAAATTGGAAGATTAAATCAATTCATTTCAGATTTTTAAAACGTGTACATTCATTATGAGATTCTACGAGCACATAACATAATATGACTGTAAGTAGAGGTAGAACGTAAAGATTTTTGGTTGATGTCGAGAATAACCCATTTTTGTAATGTAACCAAATTTAATGCACAGGTCTTTGTGAAGTGCCTCAATATAAATTATTTCATTCACCTGTTACAAATAATTGAATTTCTCAATAGTCAGGATGCGAATGGCATACATTAACAACACATATTATATGCAATTTGCATTTTGACTATTGAAATACAATTAATCGTAACAGGTGAACGGAATCAGTTGTATCGAGGCACTAATTCACAAAGACGTATGCATTAACTTTGATTACATTACGAAAAAAGGCATATCGACACTCCTTCTCAAGTATTTGCTCTTTCTTACCAATATAAAAACAAAATCTAGGGAGTAATTAGAAATGCCCATATTGGTTTAAGTATGCTGTATAGAGTAATACATACATGTATTGAGTATATGATCTCTTTTTATTCCAAAGGTATAGTTTATCAAGGGTATATCATCCAGTTAAAAAAGTTAATGAACCGTTTCAAATTTCAGGTGGATCCATATAAAAAGTGATCTGCTTATCATAACAGTCTATTAAAAGAAAGTAAGTTTTTTTGCAAACTGTAGTTATGGATCACTTTACTAAGAATATTATTTTAAAGAGAGCCTGAAACTAGTCAAAAACAGTGAGTATTTGTTAATCTCTTTCTTTGCTCTATTGAATTAATCAATTAAATGTGACAGCTGAAACAAATTTAAGCAGATACTTTCTGAGGAACATGTACTTTAACAGTTATTGCCCTTTTGGTTATGAAAAGATCATATGTATAGGTTGGTAAGCATTATGAGACCGTACATGATTATGTAATACATTAAACACTATTAGTAGTGTATATTTCTTTCCCTAACGCTGTATATTGGAAAAGACGTCATAGGTGAGCTAACAGCTTTCACGACATAAATTTATTGTGAGAAGAGAGAAAATAAGTAGAAATTACGATGAGGGCGCCATACAATCCTGACATCCATTCTCCATCTTTGTTGTCATGGTGATGCTCCACGGAATGTATTCTCCAGGATGCCGTTCCAACTGGTCTGCTGGTTATGTCACTCGTGTGCAATCGTAGGGTCAGAGGTTCAAATCCAAGCCAACTGATCCTTTCTCCCTGATATTGGGCATTTCATCCACAGTTGCCTCTCTCTACACAGGAGTAGCAGTTAACGCCTACATGCATATATATATATGTAGGTGGTGCTTTGTAGGGATACATGTTTCTTCATGATTAATCAAATGCTGTATTTCAACATCTAAAAATGACTCGTCTCTCGATCTGCCAAACGATGCAACTTCATGAAGTCAAGTGTCCAATATTCAGCGTCACCATTCACAATAAAAAATTTGTTGTCCAATTCTTGCTGTTTTTCCCCGAAATCTCTCCAAATATACGCGACATCTAAATCGGAAAATAGCTACAGTTTGGTCTCCCATAAGCTTTTAGCATGGAAGCGGGAATGTTGTATGACATGGGAAGTTTTTAGTTATGTATGCTCGACTGCTGGAGGGCACTTAACCTGTTGCCTCCTGGAAACCGGGTGTGTCCCTGTGTCAAGCCTATGGGAACTGGAGCATTCAGTAGTCTGAGGGTTAAGAGTGTCTGACTGTGTGACCAGCACGCAACAAAGATAGGTAGGTCAAGGTAGGTCAAGGGGTCACGGTGTCTCATCTCTTGCCGTTCACTCTTCTGTGTTTACCGTTCATCCGGACTCTCTGTTGGAAAGGATGAATAGAAAGAAAGACAGAAAACGATTAGTTTAAAGCCCGTCTGCACTAGTTTGGCCAGGAGGGATTAGACCACCCTGCTGGTACGTCACTGACAGGTGGTTAATTCATCAACTCAGCTCTCAATTAACATAAGAAAAAGAGGCTCATGGGGGACCAATGGTCACCGATTACCGGTAGGCATTGTTTTCTATATAGAGGGAGCAAGTAGCTACAAGTAGTGCAGTGGGGCTTAAAGTTGGGTACGAAATGTACAGCATGAGACATACATGTAGAGGTGTCGTGGTCGCGTGGATACGTCACCGGACTTTAATCAAAATGACGGTTGGACCATGGTACAATTCCCGCCGCGGTACTAATGTCCTTTGGCAAGACAACAATCTACATTTGCCACACTCGACCCAGGTGATGTAAATTAGTACCTGGCAGGAACTTATTCCTTGTAATGCTAGAGTGCAGTAATGACAGCCATGCTAAAGCCAGGGTATGAATTGTAGAGCGCCACTGAGGAGTGTCAAGTCTGACAAACATGAGCGCTATCCAAGAACCCACTATTATCATTATTATTATGAGTACATGTATGTAGCTTTTTACATTTGTACATTTTATATACCGTACAGTAGAACAATGCACAATGAAAGTAACTGCAAATTATCCACTTAATACAGGGGCGGACTGGCCATGGGGGAGAATATGCCTGGGTGGTTTTCCCAGTGAGCCATTCAATCTATTTGGCTTGATGGCTGATCAATTTCTGGAATGAAGGCCAGTGGATATGTATTTTATATGTCGAGTAAGCCTTTTGAATTGAATTTCATTACGAATCCTCCCCTGACTCTTTACAATGTTCAGATGAAACTTTTTACCCCAATGATTATACACGAGTCCATGCTAGGTTAGTTATGATTATGAGCAGATGTTAGTTATGATGTCACAAAGGAAGTTAGAAAATGTTAGATTATGACGTCACAATGAAAGTTATAAATGTAAAATGACAGCAAGTTTGAGAAAAATTGTCATTTGGTAAAAAAGAAATTGGTAGGTGAGTGTTATATTCTTTTAACGGAATTTGATAATTAATGTTTTTGCGCAAAAAGTGCCAATCTTTATATTTTTTTCGCAATACTTAAGCAGAGGGTTATGCAATTAAATGCCAGAATAGAAGAATAAATGTAAGTGCTTAAAAAGCAAGCTTTCTTCAATTAAAATTGTTGATAGAAGAGCACCCGAACAAAGATCAAGAAAAGTCTGAATACTGAATATAGCATGAAAACAGGACATTCAGTATCAAATCAGTCTCTGTCATGTACCCTTTTAATAAATTTAAATCCCTCATTTACATCTTCAGTCCAAATTCCAACTCTCACCTCTCTCTCCCTCCCTCCACCCTCCGCTCTCTCTCTTATCTGCCTTCCCTCGGCAAAAAAGGATTTCTTAAATGACAAGTTCTCACTACAATTCAAGTCAGGAACAACCTTTTCTAATAATGCCCTTACATTGTACATCTGAAAGGCTCCCTCTTTAGACCACTGTCCAAATCAGCTGACACAAATAACTATATTAAAAACAAATCTGTTGTAGTTAGTCACTGCAAAATTGTAAAGGAACAGGTCTGCACTTCAATTCAAGACCCAAGAAACCCTTCCAACTCCCTTGCTTCAACAGGGCTCCCTCTATATCCCACTGATTTATAGTCAGCAAACTTAATCATAGAAAAAAAAGTCACTTCTGGAATTAATCACTGCAAAAAGTGTATAAGAACAAGTCTGCAAGGCACATCAACGCAAACCTTCCTTGGCCCAAATCAGCTGACTAAATCATAAAAATCTTTACAGTATTAAAAACTAAAAAAACTGTCACTTCTGAAATTATACGTAATCACTGCAAAAGTCTACAAGTAAAAGTCTGCACTTCAATTCACGACACGATCAACCCTTGAACTCTCTTACCTCTGAAGGGCTCCCTCTCTAGCCCACGCACTGATCAATGATCAGCTGACCTCCTCAGATGTAGAAGGAGTCTGTTTGGCCGCAATGGATGATGGGAAGGGACGAGATGAAGGATGGCATCGGCAAGCATGTGATGGGGGTTAATAATGCAGGAGAGATGAAGAGTTTTTAGCATGGTTAGGATGGAGGTGGGTGGGGTTAAGTTTTCATTAAACGAGAGAGAGAGAGAGATGAAGAAAGTGATAATAATATGGTTAGGTTAATAAGAAATGGAAAAATAATATTGCTATTTAAAAAATATCTTATTCAAAATTTATTTTCTATAGACCAAAACTCTACTGAATCGTTTGGAACAAATGGCCACGGTACATTGTATATATACATGGATGTGTGCCAAAAGCTGGTTGTGGTAAATCTTTGTAGTTCTAATAGTTGACCAACGCCATTATGGAGTTAAATGTCCCTTCTGAAAATTCAGAATGGCAATATCTACCCTTTGTCTCTCCCCCAAGTATATTAATATCATATTGTAAGAACTTTGTGATACAAGGAAATAAATTAGTATAAGAATAACATGGATCCATCTGCATGGCTCTTCATATGACGAAAATTAGCTTTGTTTTGCAAGAATTGTTTCATTAATTTGTAAAAGGATATGTTAAATACACATCAATTCGGGTAGAACCACAGATTTACTCTTTTCTAGCTCTCATGCATGGACAAACTTCAAGACAAAACGAAAATAGATTAATTTTCTCTGTTGACACAGGAGTGGATCCAGCCGGTGGAAGAGAGGGGGGGGGGGGGGGGGGGGGGGGGGGGGGGGGGGGGGGGGTAGTGAGCACTAAAAAAAAATATATATATTTTTTACTCAACAACCCCCCCCCCCCCCCCCCCCCCCCAAGAAGGTAACATTGTGGTTACCATCTTTTTCCTGCACCCCCTGGTACATTTGTACATTTAAACCTTTTGAAAGGAACTGCTGTCAGATTAAACAAAATTATATTCAATATGTAGTCAACGCTAAATTCTTACAAAGCAAACATGAAAAATACTGTCTCGTGTAAGCTTTTGCATTAAATATAAAAACGGGTTGGTGGAGAACCTAATCATGGTTGTGATATATGTGAAGAAATTCATAAAAATTCCCTTGGCAGTCAATAACAGATTAACAAAACAAGGTAACAAAACCCGAGCAAAACACACCATGAAAATAATATGCATGTTACATTGAAGTCTTCGTGCCACTCAGCACTATCATTTTTTTAAATTTTTTTTACTACCAATGCATTTGGTATCCTCCATCTCTTGAACTGTTGTTTCTTTGCATTTCAATGACTTAGTGACATGTATGTTAAAGAAAACCTCACCCAAAGAAATAACTTAAGGTTTTCTGTAATGTTCAGGTCATGTATAAGGGTGTGACTTGTGGCTTTGTGAAAATGAAGAAGAAAAAAATGAAATGAATCCTCTAGTGAAAATTATTTTTTGATATGTTTCAAAATTTAAATTTCTTTCAACTACTAGTAGACCAATTTTTTGGCATATTTTGAACAGGCGCAGCCTTACAGTTGATTGAAATGGGGCTTGGATACATATACTGCATTGATAACAAGTCAAGTACCACATACAATAATCATGCTAAGTCAAGCATATACATGTATTCATAATGCAACAATATAAGAACAAAAATGAAAACATTGCCAGGAGTCATTTGAATATACAATTGTACAATAAGCCTAGTAACAGATATATATTTTTTTGAGAGCCAGAAGGGTGATAAGTCTGTGTTAAAGTATATGAGTTAATACCTTTCTGGCTCCAAACAGACAAATTTGTTTAATCAAATGAAGGTTTAAACCAATGGACACTATGCCCAAGAAACAAATCTTGGACTAGTGTCCATGGACAATGCATGATATACACAACTGCATCATATCCCATGAGTAATCTTCACATAGGGATTTGAGAATTTTGTTAAATTAAGTAATTTTTTTTTGTTATGGCATCAGGGATTAATAATCTGATCTGGGCCCTGTCTTAAAAAAGATTTGAATAAATTAACCGTTAGCTATTGATATCAATCGCAACTATGCAAATCAGAGACAGGAGAGTGCAAACTTGCAATCGATTAGGACTAGAGATTGGTTTGAATCAATCACAACTCTTTTTAATACAGGACCCTAGTATTCCTTCCATATGATGATATAAAGGAAGCAACTTCCATGTACATGTATATGCAGGTTATATTCAGTATTTGTATCTATTAGAGAAGTGCTGTTTTCTAACTATGCAATGCTTGCAGCAGGCGCAAAAATATAAGAGAAATCATAACAGAAAATATGGTAAAATAACAGACTAAACAGTGGACAAAAAAAAGAAAAAAGTAAGATAAATAAAAAACTCAAATTAATTTTTTTTTTAGATCTTGAGGGAAGCAAAAAACTAAAAACAAATTACATGATAAAATCATACATCATAAAAATCAATCAAAAATCAAACAGAAAATCATAACAAAAATGAAATGAAATTTGCATTAGAATCAAACAAAATGAAAAAAAAAATCATACAGAAATCATAACAGAAATGACATTAATTTTGCACTAAAATCAAACAAAATGAATAAGAAAATCATAAAATAATCATAAAATTCAAACACAATCATAGAGAAATCATAATGTGAACAAAATTCAAACAAAATATAAAATAAAATCATAGAGAAATCATAAAACAAAACGTAAAGCCATGCAAACCTTGACTGCTTAGGGAGTGGTTTGAACGCGAGATGCGACTAGCAAGCATTTCCAGGTAGCTGGCCGGCACCCAGCCCTGGTCGGCGTTCGAGTGCTTGCGCACCAGCCACCACCCCGATTTACCGACCTTCTGCACATCGACGATCTCCCCCTCCCGCACGGACAGCTCCCCGGGCTCGACCACGTTGTACTCGGCGAGCACCACGTACTGGTTCATGTCGACGGGCTGGAGAGAGAGAGAGAGAGAGAGGGAAACACACGTTAGATGAGGATGGTATTCTTGCAAATCTCATTTTGAGGGTCTACAAAGTCTTTAAAGCCCGTCTGCACTAGTTTGGCCAGGGGGAATTAGACCTCCCTGCATGGTCACTGACAGGTGGTTATCTCATCCAATCAGCTATCAATTAACATAAGAAACAAGGGAAACGCTCTCGGCGGTCTCGCCTGCATAACGCAATTCAATATGATAAACCAGAACGTCAATGACGTAGCGCTCATCCGCATCTCACAACAACAAATATCGTAAATTTTATGTGGTACACTTTTGAACTGGTCAAAAAATAGAAACTTGATGCCCTGGAAGGGACATGATTTCATTTCATTTGCATAAAGTACCATAAATAATCAATGGAGCAAAATCTCACAATTCTGTGTAGAAGTTTATTGTTCCAAATTTAGCTCTACCAGATAAGGCAAAATCGGTCAAGAGATGAGGGAAAAGAAGCAATTTTTGTTATTTTTGGAATAAATTTGCATTAATTACCATAATTAATTAATGGAGAACAATTTCAAAATTCTGTGTAGAAGTTTAGTGTACCAAAGTTAGCTCTACGATATAAAGCAAACCAAATCAAAATCGGTCGAGAAATGAAGGAGAAGAAGCCTTTTTTGTGATTTCGAATAAATTTGCATAAATTAGCATAGATAATGAATTTCACGATTCTGTGTAGAAATTTTAAAGCCCCTCCTAGCCCTATCATATGAAACAATCAGAATCAAAATCTGTTGAAAAATAACGAAGAAGAAGCATTTTGAAAATCTTAATGTTGATGCCACAACAAAGTCTGAGTTTGTTGACCTTAAATGGCCTTTGACCTTAACTTAGTGACCTGAAATTCTACTCACATGATTGGGGAGACTTGATAACCCTATAGTCCAAGTTTCATTGACTAAGAACTTATACTTTCAAAATTATATCAAAAATTCAAAAACTTAACCTTAGGTTAAGTTTTCGATGATGATGCTACAACATAGTCCAAGTCTGTTGACCTGAAATGACCTTTGACCTTGACTTTGTGATCTGAAATTCTACTCACATGATTGGGGATACTTGATTACCCTATAGTCAAAGTTTCATTGACTAAGAACTTATACTTTAAAAATTATACCAAAAATTCAAAAACTTAACCTTAGGTTAAGTTTTTGATGTTGACGCCGTCGCCGTCGCCGTCGCCGCCGCCGTCACCGGAAAAAGCGGCGCCTATGTCTCGCTTTTTGCTACGCAGGCGAGACAAAAAGGGACCATGGGGGACCAATGGTTACAGATTAGGCATTGTTTGCTATATAGAGGGCGCAAGTAGCTATAAGTAGTGCAGTGGGGCTTTAAGAGAAATACGTAATGCATTGGAGAAAGATAGGCAGAGAGAGAAAGAGACAGAGAGAGGTTGTAGATGTAGAGATGATTTGAGAGGAAGAGGTCACAAAAACAATAGATAGACTGGGACAGGAAGTGAGGAAAGAAAAAAGCGAAAGAGAAAATGGAAAGATGGAGTACGAAAGAAAGAGATATGCCTGACATGTTACGTAAAAATGAAAAGAACAGATGCCATTGAGAAACAGATATTGTAACTGGTATTTTGTTGTTCTTGTTGTCCAACATACATTTAAATAATAATTAATTCTCTAGTCTCTAGGGAAAAAAAGTGTGCAGGAAAACAAAGTATGAATGAGAGAAAAAACAGGGAAAGAGGAAGGAGAGAGAAAAAGATAGAGATAGAGAGAGTGGGAGAGGGAGAGAGAGAGACAGAGAGAGTGAGAGAGAGCAAGAGAGAGAGAGACAGACAGAGAGAAACAGAGACAGAGAGAGAGAGAGACAGAGAGAAAGAGAGACAGAGAGAGAGCAAGAGAGAGAGAGAGGCAGAGACAGAGACAGAGAGAGAGAGACAGAGAAAGAGAGAGACAGACATACAGAGACAGAGAGACACACACACATACAGAAGAAAACAGTCCTCCTCTACTTGTACTCACTTCAGACAGGCAATCCCGATCTAATATCTCATCTTCTGAATCGGTGAACTCTGCGCTGCCCCAGTCGTCGTATTCCTCATCGTTCTCTAACGAGGGCTCACTTGTAAGCGAGGGATTTGCGCTACCCGCTGACGACGAGTCGCTGGTCGGTGAAGGGAGTGAGAGACCATTGTTGTTACCCGCGTTGGTGTTGGCGTGCAACGCTTCTACGTGATTCTCAATGATTGGCTTCTGTGTAGCTGAGATTTTTCTCCCTGCATTAAAAAAAAAGAATTGACCCATGACTTTTAATTGACGTCTAATTCACCCATTGGCTACTGAATTCTCATATTGCTCATAGGTTTACTACAGGAACCACCTAATCCGAGAGTGTAATGGGTTAAAATAAAGGGACAGTCAATCTTACTTTAGATACCATCTATCTAGAGGAAGACCATCACTCTATAACGATTCCATTTCCCGTTGGATAATATTTCTCATAAAAACAAGAGTATTATTAAGGAAATAGTACATGAGGATTTGCCCATAGAGGCCACTTTTCAATTCTCCCTTGAGCTATCAAAGAAAACTATATATTCCTACATGTACTTTAGGGACGAACAATGACATCCCTCTCTATGTAATTACAGCAGCATTATCATGTTTTTTGTCTGTTCTGTATTTACCTTTATAACTGTTTACCCAGGTGAACGGTACATGTATTTTGATTATCCTTTTTCAAATTCTGCTACCTTTTAAGACGAGAAAGTGTGTCGCAACCCCAAAATGCCATTAATTATATCAGACAAATAAACCCCACCAGTGAACTGACAGCTGCTTCTGTTTAATTTCACAGTACATTCCTATAGAGAATCACCTAACATATTCACTTGAAGTAAAGGATGGGGTACAACAAAGAAAGGAAAGAGCCAAGTGTGAAAGGTCCCCCTTACACATATCATGTGGTTCTGTTCATACCTGTCTGCTCCTTGTTGGTTAGAAGGGCTTGTCTGATTGCCTTAGTCCATGCTATCTTGTCAGATTCTGTTGGTGCCTAGATTTGGAGAGTGACAAAATAAAATATTAGAAATAATAGAGTGCCCTTCTAATGATACTATCATCATAATCCTCCTCCTCCTCCTCCTCATCATCATCAACATCATTATCATCATCATCATCATCATCATCATCATTATCATCATCATCATCATAATCATCATCATCACCACCACCATCACCATCACCACCACCATCACCATCACCACCAACATCCTCACCACCACCACCACCACTATCATCATCATCATCATCATCATCATCATCATCACCACCACCACCACCACCATCACCACCACCACCATCACCATCATCACCATCATCATCATCATCATCATCATCATCATCATCATCATCATCATCATCATTCCCATCATCATCATCATCATCACCAGCATCCTCATCATCACCATCACCACCATCATTCATCACCATCACCACCATCATCATAATCATCATCATCATCATCATCATCATCATCATCATCACCATTATCATCATCATTCTTCCTCCATCCTCATTTCATCATCCTGCTCACCTGTAAGATGAAGACTTCTACTCTACCACCGAGCCATAACTCAAACTTCTTCTTGTCTCCTTTCACATGCTCTGTCAAACCTAAGGACGGTGTCTGGAAAATAACAACATGCAAAACAGGTGAAAATCAATCAGATTCATGGTTATACTCCACAAATTTTTTCTCTCCATATATTGAATGTTTGGAAGCTTTGTTGGAGAGATTTCTTCAGAAGTTCTTTTGGGTGTAAATCCCAGTATTAAGATCTGCTGCATGATTTACATGTAGATAGAGCTCTCGCAGCCAAATCAAAAGGAGGAATTGCAGCAATATTCATTCTTGAAAAAATCCAGGATCCATTATAACCAGATTCATGTCTCTTCAATACAACTCTTGGTGATTATTACATTCTATTAAATTTAAACGAACTTGAAGTAAAACCTGATGCTTTGATTCATATTTGTAATGTTTATTATAATCAACTTGTTTTTTAAATAGTGATAAAATTATATAGTACATAAGAGCCTTATATCGTCTGTTTGGAGCCAGAAGGGCGTTAACTCATATGCTGTAACACAGAATTAACACCTTTCTGGCTTTCAGATGTTAGATATGGCAATATCACTACTGTTATCATACAGGATAATTTGTGACCGATTCTTTCACAAAAGAATCAGAGAAGAAAGCAGTTTATTTATATTCTAGAAGTGCAATCTGTCATCATTATGATTGAACTCCTACTTAAAGGTAAACACCAGTTTTGGAAACGCCCTACTCTCAAAAAAATTAAATGGAAGCTTGTATTTATACCAATAATGTGAAAGAATATGTTTTGACTAATACGTGATCATACAAATTTTGCCAAGAAATCGTCTACTAATTGATATATTTGGTAAATTATTATATCTATTTGGACCTGATAGATATAACGCACATGTCGTGCATGTGCGCCTAGTCCCATATACATCTTTCTGTGTACAGTGCTTGTAACTTTACCAAGACTGGGCCAAATTTCTTATCATTTTGATGATTCCAGAACCTTGCAGTACACACCAATACTTATATGCTAGATGATCAACCCTTTTCTGATCGATTCCACAACGTTTCTTTCACAATGCAATCGCATGACCATAACTGGTCTTTATCTTTAACTACATGTACAGTTATGAAAAAGTGCAACAAGGATAAACTTACAGGAATACTGTTTTTGTAGCCGTAGAACGTTTTGTCGCTGATGTCCCCCCGCCGCTTGCAGAAGAGCACCGCCTTCTCGTAGAGGAAGATGTGACGTTGCATGCGCTTCTGTCGGATGTCTTTGAGATTGTGACGACTCTTGTGCTCCGTCCACATATGGAGGGGACCTTGCATGAGCAGCTTGCCAAGATCAGAAAGGGTTCCCTGTGATTCGAGAAGAAAAACAAAAAGAAGTAGCTTGAATACAGCTTACCGGTACACGAGAGGGGCTCTACAATGAAAGGTTTTCGATACCACCATGTTTAAGCCTAAATGAAATGGGTGTTGTTATTACTCTTTCATTTTGTTGACCTTACATAAAGGCCGTTGATCATGGATACTCACTCACCGTGGAAACCTATAGAGATTGTGAAATGGAATTGAAGACACATGCCATGGTGACAGTGCTCCAGCATTAACTCCCATGACACTTGCTTTTCATTAAGATATGGGGTATTACCTAAGGTTGCCATTAGATTTTAGGTTAGGTTTAGAGATATATATATATATAATGAAAATACAATTTTATATCAATGGAAAGATGAATAATCTTTAAAAGACGATAGTTGCGAACTCTTAGCAAGTAGTCTAAATATAGACTTACCTCATAACCAGTAATGGCTACTTGATGCATGGAGTCATTGACATATTTGAGTACTGTTAGCATGCAGTCTAGAGCAGCCTGAAGATCGTCCGCTCCTTTCTCCATTGGAGAGTATCTCATCATCTCCTGATCAAAACAAAAATAAGAAAGATTAACGATGGTACAGTCAAACCTGTATATAGTGACCGCCGAAGAAAAACACAAGAAGTGGTCTTTGTAGACAGGTTCCTTTAGTTCATGTTTCAATGAGAAACCATTTTCAAGGGAAACTAAAAATGTGGTCATTGTAGACAGGTGGTCACTAAAGCGGGTTTAACTGTATAGGGTTGCCAATTTGTAAGTTGACGTCTTCGTACCCTCAGTAGGAGTTGATACTTTAATATCCTCCACTCTGAAATGGTTTCATTTTTTCATTCATTTATAGTTTTATGACCTAGTATACACACTATACTCCAATAGAAACATGACAGTCACATAAAAATGTTTAAACGTGTTGCCAATTAATTAGTTGGTGCCATCGTACATTCAGTAAAAGTTGATACTTTAATATCCTCTGCTCTGAAAACTATTTATTTATTCATTCATTCAAATTTCCATGACTAATAAGCACTATACTCCAATAGAAACATGACAGTCGCATACAAATGTTAGTGTTGCCAATTTGTTAGTTGACGCTATCGTACCTTCAGTAGGAGTTGATACTTTGTTATCCTCTGAACGGGTTTCAGTAGGTAAGCACTCAGGGGTAGTTTGTGACCTAATTGCTTTTGGCATTCCTGATGAAAGAAAACAAAAGGAATACATAGTTCAATACAACAATTATTTCAATATGACTTTGCATAATGACATTTAAAAAAAAAAACTGTTCAGAAACTTTAAAATGATTTATACAAATAATGTTCATATAATTTATTTATTCTTGGGAATCTACACAAAACAAGCTATGCTTTCCAGTAGGTTCCTGTTTCATTTCATAATTTTGAACTTATTTTGTCAACTGCAGTATGTTCTTTATTGTGCAAACAATTGATATGAAATGAAATAAATTTGAATCAATCGATCAAGTCAATGCACTCATGCACTTTCGTAAGGCATTAACGCTCGTTACCAAGTCCCTCAGAAAGGACTTAAAGCTGTTGGCCCCCTGGTTGCATACTTACAAGCACATGCTTTCATTAATAGCAGTACGGTAAACAATCATCAAACATCAAAGAACTTGAAGACTTACTTGGAAAAATGTGTTGTTTGAGCCACATTCTCTCCTTAATAACTCAGACCTGGGTTTGTTTTGGCAATAAACACTGTACAGCTGATCCAGCTCATCTTTCTGTATTAATCAAGACAACAGATTTTAAAATAAGATTTCACAATAACATTAAAACATGTAAATTGTTATACCTCACCATTTTATTGTTAGCATTTCTGTAAAGTCACATGGATTGGAAAAGAAGACCTTTGGGTTATAGTTATTTAATTAATCTTTTTATTTTCCTGGCATCCATGTGACTTTTTTCCAAATGTACTCTTTGTATCTTGTATTCAGTTATTTTCTTTGTTTTTGCCAAATAAATAATAATAATAATAAAAGATACTTCATGCATTTGAGAATGTCCCCAACACTCCAATCAAAATCCAATCTGGCTTACCCTACACACACACAAAAAGATTTAGAAGTGTACAACAATATGTTTATGTCTATATAACTGTCAGATTTTTTGACTAAACAACTTTCCTGCAAAGAGGCGATAGGTTTATTTTTGCTTTTTAGATAATCAAAGGAAGAGAGCCTTTTCTTAAAAAAGAAGAAATATGATAGCAAATTGTATATAAACTATAAAATAGCTTGATCTCTATAAACAAACATGTATGAATGTATGAATTATATATTTAAACAAAAAGCATTTAAAATAAAAACAAATATGTACATGTATCATACTTACCATATCTACAAAGCACTTGCCGACTAGGGTGGGTGTGTTTCTGTAATTCTCCAGTTCCACCAAGAATTTACTGTTTCAAAAGAAGAAGTAGAAATATCATATGACTTTGATATTAAAACCGTTTACATCAGTTGATAATGATTCTACAGGAATACCCCTTATACATGTACATTTAGGTCATCACATTATCATTATTACAGTAGACGTGGCATCAAAAGCAGCAGAACTATCATCATTATCCCCATCTCCATCACTACTATCACAACCACAATCATCTTCATCATCATGGTTATCACCACTACTATCCTCCTCCTCCTCACTTTCATCATCACCATTACCACCCTTCTCCTCCCTCCCTCCCTCCCTCCCTCCCTCCCTCCCTCCCTCCCTCCCTCCCTCCCTCCCTCCCTCCCTCCCCCTCCTCCCCTCCCCTCCCTCCTCCTCCTTCTCCCTCCCTCCCTCCCCCTCCTCCCCCTCCTCCCCTCCCCTCCCTCCTCCTCCTTCTCCCTCCTCCTCCTTCTCCCCTCCCCTCCCCTCCCGCTCCTCCTCCCTGTTCCTCCTCCGCCTCCCACTCCTCCTCCTCCTCATCATGACCACTAAAATCACCATTACCACTACCACAATCATCACTATCAGTATCACCATCATTATCATTATCATCATCAACACAATCATCACCATATCATCGCCATCATCATCATCATCATCATCATCACCAACTTTAACATCATCCTCATCAAAATCACCATAACACCACCATCATCATCATCATCATCATCATCATCGCCATCCCCACTAGAAACAATACCACCATCACAGACTCATTCCCATCATCGTCCGTCTCTTTACTTTTTGTGGAAGTTGTAGAGCTGCTCCCAGTTGGCAAATAGTACGTCTGTGTGCCCCTGCAGCGAGGGAGGGATTTGTCCCACAAAGGCGGGGCTATCCATCTGCTTGATGTAACCGTTTAAAACCGCTTCTAGCTCCTTTACGTAGATCTTCTCTGTCTCTATCAGCTCCTTGATCACATGTCTGTTTAATAAACAAAATCATTTCAAATATTAAAGCCCCACTGTACTACTTATAGCTACTTGCGCCCTCTATATAGCAAACAATGCCTAATTGGTGCCTGTTGGTCCCCCATGATCCCCTTTTTCTTATGTTAATTGAGAGCTGATTTGATGAGATAACCATCTGTCAGTGACCTTGCAGGGAGGTCTAATTCCCACTGGCCAAACTAGTACAGACAGACTTTAACATAAAAAGTTCATTTACCAAAGTAATGATTGAAATATCATCATGGGGTGGTCACTGCAGCACAGATGACAAGAAATCTATGGAAGACGGATTTGGGAGCAGTTAGCATGCACAAAAAGTATCTCTATAATAGCTTGGGTCAAGGATGTCAAAGAGAAGGGTTTACAGAAAGAGTAGAAAGTGAAATGATAACTAGAGTTTCTCTCGATAGATAATCCTGGGATGGGAACATTATCGTCTGTTGATTTAACAACCTTTTGGTTCCAAACAGATAATTTTGTCTAAGCATCATTACACTATTGGCATTCTTTTCTGCTTGTCCCAACAATAATAGATTTAACATATATGGCAACAGAGATAAAGACAAACAATATCTCAGCAAGAGTGACAGGTTATTACCCCTGTATCTTCATATCATATTGTATGCTTTATCGTATTCTGTCTATTCAAAAGACAATGGGTGTATGCTCTTAAAAGATGCTCATGCAAGTGCTGCAATGTCTTTATACAAAACTTATACAAGTTTAAAATACAGAATGTAGGCCCCTGAAATAATGAACCAAAGTTATCAAGCAAATCTTTGGTCTAAAAGTTGGCCGGACATTTTCAGAATCGAAATTGGGTCATATCATCTGAAGACTGCAGGATTTCTATTTTTATGAAACATTTTGGGCTCATTTAGTATTCCTTGAAAGACTTATAAATATTCAAATGCTAGTTTTCAGGTTTCCTCAATGAGACCTCTACAGTTTATAGGTCAGGTGAATCACTACACGTCTCAATTTGATGTGAAACTTTTTTATCGATGTGTGCTCTATAATCATGCTTCTTGTACTGTACATGTATGCACAATATCATATCAGTGACATACATGTACACCTACATGCACAAATGGATGTACATTGTGTAGAAATGGATTCCATTTAAATTTCATAGTGCTCAAGACTTTAAAAAAAGAACTAGCAAAGAAATAAAAAAAAATAACAGGCCATTCGAGCCACTTTCAAGCATACATGTATGCTGTTCATGCTGTTCTGTATCTGTTAAAAAAAAAATCTATTAGTTTTCATTGAAAAATGCATCAAAAGGTTGAAATCACTCTGTTACCAATTTGAAGAACAACAGCCGACCAATTTAGACCTTTACAAAATCCTGTCCAGAATGAGTTAAAGATACATCGTCATGGAATCATATGGGAAATTTGATACCCTATCTGGCAATTTACCCAATAATGTTCATGGAATTCTCTTTCACAACTGACAGGTCTTAGAATGTCCGTGATGGCCGACCTTCCCCCGACTTCATTAGAATTGCTTTGTGAGGAAAAATATTCATAAACTTCACATATGAACTATGACTCACATTGTTTTGAGCTCTCGCAGCAAATTACAGGTGGGACGTGAGTTTTGTTGCGCGCAAGATTTGTACATGCATTAATTGGCAATTCTATCATGCATGTGTATACTTGTAAGATGCAAATACACACCAAACTTCCAACAGAATGTCTCTAACTCAATGACTACTAAATTCTTTCATTCCCAAAGGCTTAATATACAGACCAATTTGTTGGTGTGGGCCCTAGGTTTTCAAACTTGAAACTTCCTAGAAAATGTCTCTGCCCCAATGACTTCTGAATTCTTGTATTCTCATAAGCTTAATACATTGAACACTTTGGTTTGTGTGGGCCATTGGTTTTCAAACTTGAAAATTCCTACAGAATGTCGCTAACCCGATGACTCCTGAATTCTTTCATTCCCATATACAGTACCGGTAGGCTTTATACATGGACCACTTAATTGGTTTGTGTGGGCCATGGGTTAATGAAATGAATGACATGCAAACACAGGCCAAACAGTCAGCAGCAAGGCAGACTGGCAACAGATAGGCATGCAGTCGTACGTGCACACAGTCGTGTACAGAACTGAGCATACAGTCAAGCAGGCAAGCCTGCATGCAGTCGAGCACAGAGGGAGGCAGACTGACCTCAGCTTATACTGAGCAAGGGATCTAAAGGAGTTGGAGTGGTTCTTCTCCATTACGAAGTGATGGAAACCGTTGTCTTGGTGAGCGTAGGACTTGGGACACACACCCATTTTCATGAGGATTCTTCACACAAAACAGGATACAGAGGAAACAAGATGGCGGTGAGGTGCAAGGAAAGGATTAACAACTTTTAAATATTCCAAATCAGTGCATTGATTATAGGTTTAATAATATCCATGCAATTATGTGAACATATATGTATAATTTATACATTTATCGACTTGGATATATACATAATTAATTATGCTTGAATCAAAAGAGTGAGAAAAAATTGTAACCATTACTCTTAAACTTCAACATAGCACAGAACTATTCAGTTTTTATAATATTTAAATCTAATTATCTGATCTCATTAAGATTTTTTTTATATAAATGAAACTGAAAAAGTGTAAAAAAGAAATGCTCAGTTACTACTAACCCCTAACTTTATAATGTTTAATTACTTACAGGGCCAATCAGTTTGAAAAAGATTTGTTCATTGATTTGCTCATTTTCAGGTTGTTGAGTCTTTACTAGCCAAGACAACATCCTTAAAAATAGATTTATTTTCAATGAATTTTACAACTGTATAATTAATGGTTCAACCTAACCTATGGCAAATTAAAAAAAAAAAATCAGTTTCATTAATAAAACAAGGGCTTTTAACCGTCACGTAATTATACCTGCGCTTATAACTGAGAGAGTTGCAATCCACTTCATCCTGGAATTCCCCGTCACTGCTGAAACTCATGGGCTGTGAGTCATCGCGGATGATCTCGATCTTACGGTCCAACTGAAGACGATCACAAGAGAAAAAGAGGGAAAACAGAGATTAGAATCATGGTATTTTAAAAGAATAACAGCTAGAGAATGAAGATGATCGTAAGAGAAAAAGAGGGAAAACAGACAATTATCAAAGTCATGCTATCTTGAATGAATAACAGAGAATTAATTAATTTTAGAAATAAGTAAGTTGGATCTAAATATGACAAATAAATATGGTACTTAATCTAGTACATGACCTTCTATAACTACGTTTACGGTGAATATTTGATTGATCATTTTCCTAAGGGAAAATATAATTTTTGAAGTTTTTAGTACAGGCAAATGGGAGGGGACCTCGTAAGATACGTCACAGAGTTGCCAATTTGTGTTTGTATAATGTCCTTCTATAAATTGCCTGTGAAGAGCCAGAAGGGTGTTAACTCATACATGTATATACATTTTTTTTTTATATAGCGTTAACGCCCTTCTGGTCGTCTACGGATGATACATTAATTTATAGAAAAATCAGGGCCCCATTTCACAAAACTTGTCATCAGTGACAAATTACACTTTTCGTTATAAGCTACTGAAATCCTTGCTTCTGATTGGTTATCAGCGGATTTGTCACTGATTTTTGTCATTTATCATTGAAAAAAGGCTTTGTGAAAAGGTACCGTTCTACAATATTCTAACTTGCTATTCCACGCATGCGCATGTGCATGAATTTCCATGTTGCTTTTCCCAAAGTATGCAGCACAATTTTGTTAATTAAGTTGTTTGCAGATATTGCTATTTCACACCACATCCATCTCACTCAGCAAAATTCATCATGAAAACTATTCTAAAAGGTGAAATTCATGAACTCCTTGCCCCCACCAATTTTATAGCATGCAGGTACGGTAAAGAGAAGGAAAAATGATAAGAGTTTTTTTTTGTACAAGAATTATGACAATGGATAAGCAAAAATGATGCTAAGAAACCACTACATGTTTACGCCAAATGGTTGTAGCTGAGCAATTGCATCTAGAAAATTCCCCAAACTAAAACCAATTTACTAAAAAAAACAACAACATACAAACCAACAAACAAAAACTCTAGGGTATACTTGTTTGAGCCTTATCTACTCCTTGGATAGTAAATAATATGAATAGTGTTTACTCTTTTCTGCTCATGATGAAAACAAAGGTCAACTCTCATTAAGGTGGACAAGAAAGTCTATGGTCTCTCTGCCATTTCCTTGAAAGCATTGTTTTCTTTTAACAAATCAAGAACACGGAAGCACCATAACATCACCTTCCAGATGCACCAAGCCAAAAGCGACATAGACAAGTCTGCATTTGCCCAACGTTCTATCCCAGAATGGAACAGCCTTCCGGCAAATGTAGCGCATGCAGACAGTCTAGAGAACTTCCAGGGACTAACTAACCCTGAGGCATCTAATGTAGCAAATAATGTTTTGGTCATTGTTTTGTACAAGAAATTATTATCTAATTTCTGTGATCCTTTAAATGTTTTTCTTGACACAATTTTGCTCATCATATGAAGTGTCCACACCAAGGACTTCGATGACCATCCCTGTGTCCTGTTATCATTCATGTCTAGCATTACTTTCTGACTCACTCAGTCAATAAACCTTGATAGTTTTTTTTATACAGGATAGACCTCACATCGTCTTTCAAACCCTTTTCCGCCTTTACCCCTCCTCGCCCCAACCCCTTGGATTTGGGTACGTGTATCTTTTCTCTCGCAGGACATTAAATCTGATTGTTGCTGTCTGGAGCCCTCTATTGATAACAGTCAGGGAGAGATAATATATCACAGTAGTAAACAGACTTTTAATAATAACCAGACTCACAAGAGTGTCCTTAAACTTCAAGTTTAGATTGTGGTTTTAAACTTTGCGGTTTTCTTGTAGTTAAAGATCATGCGGACGCACTCATGGTTTCCAAACTTTGAGTTTACTTGACAAAAGTTTACTTTAAACAAATGGGCGATCTCATGATTAATGCACAAACTACAACAAAGAAAGAGTGGAACAGAGGGGGAGAGAGAGGGGGAGAAAGAGAGAGAGAGATGGAGAGAGAGAGAGGGAGAGAGAGAGAGAGAGAGGAAGAGAGAGATAGAGAGATGGAGAGAGAGAGAGAGAGAGAGAGATGGAGAGAGAGCAAGAGAGAGTAGACAGGAGATGAGATGAGAAAGAAAGGAAAGAGAGACAGAGACAGACAGGGGATACAGACAGAGAGAAGGAAAGATAGTAAACACGAGAGGGGCGAATGCAGTGTAATTGCATTGTCTGCTGGGAGGCATAAGGGAATTTCATTCATCGCAACTTTTACCTCTTTTACCCCTTTCTGTCTCCCATCACAATGAACAAAGTTGCAGTCAAGTTGTCGTGGGAGTACATTTCTCGCAACAATCTCCCATTATTCACAGTAAACAATGCAGTCAGGGCAACAGGTGGTGGCTGTCGCAAGGTAGGGGGAAGGGGGAGGGGGGCAACTCGCTGCATTCAACCCTGCTCTTTATCATTCCCCTGTCACTCTTATTAATGAAAACAATGCTAAAGAAAGCCTTCACTTCTTATTCCTAAGGTTGAGGTTAACCAACCCTGGGCAGGCTGGGTTTAGTCATGCAACAGTTTGGAAACATTTCCTTGCAAGACTCCAGAGGAGCGTCTTTCCGAGATATCTAGCGGATGAGGTTTAAAGGACTTTGTATCTGCTTTGATGGAGGCAGAAGCGCATTGTCCTTACAGAAACTTAAGCTTGCAGCAATCTTAATAAGCCTGCATTACAAATTTATGCTTGCAAAACTTGCTCGCAATCTTACAACAAACTTGCTGCAAGCTTGCATGCCAAAAAGACATGCCCTGCAACCTTGCATGAGCGCAATATAAAGCTCTTACAAGCTTGCCGCAAACTTATACAGTCAAGAGGATATGTATCTCTGAATTAAAGTTCTGGAGTTAACACCCTTCTGGCTCTGAGCAGATGGTTGCAAACACAAACATTCATTAACAGAGAGAAGAGATGAGAAGGATGATCAAATTTAACGTTGATTGATACAAAACAAAATGTTTGCAATTAAGATAAATGCTCCAGTGAAAATCGTTACAACGCTAACCAATTCCTAACTTCAACCCTTGACCAGACACTGTACCTAACCCTTACCCTAAGCCTAACTTAAAAGCCAAATGCAACCTAAACATTAACCATACACCTTTGATGAAATGAAGACCGGAGTATTATGCTGAGGCACCCATGAAATCTGGATAGAGAATACTCTAGTCTTGCATTAATTCTTTGAAACTGCGATCAATTCTCAACATTTCTGGGAGTTTATATGGAGTGTTGTATCAGAAGTGAATCTATCTTTCTATAGTGCATCGCTTTTAAATTTAGCACTGGTCTTTAAAACGTGGAAAACATAGTTATACAAATTAGAAGCATTATTTTAAGTAAAAGTGGTAACATCAACTACATTTTAAAGAAGAGTAGACACCATAATGTTACAACAGACATTACTTCTACCACTACCTATAGTTATCTATAAAAGGTACTTTACTTGTTGGAGTTGAAAGGGAATTAATTCTGTGTGAAATGATATTCAGTTAAAGCCCTTCTGGATCCAAACAGAAGAGTTGTTCTAGCAACAAAGTGATGTGATGATGACGGTGATGATAACTAATAGCATCTAAACAGTGCCATATTTTCTGTTGAAAAACCCAAAGGTTTCTGAGGAATATATCATAGAGTTTAACAGGAATGATAAACAATACAAGGAGAAAAAAATGCTTACACTGCGCTGTAATATGATACAATAATTACCCCATACTTGAATTTGTAACTACTTAGTCCCACTAATACATAGTTATGACTCACACCCTGCTCCTTCGCTAGCTCATAATTGATTGATTGCCAATGCTCACGTACGAAACAAGAGACCCTCAAAAACAAAACAAAGCAACATGGCGAGTTATTCCCAGACAGAACTTGTCTTGCCATCTCCACCGTTTTTCCTTCCATGGATTTGACAGCGAGGAAGCAAGATATTAAAGTGGATTTGGTGCTTGAGATGGACTCGAGAGGGTTTGCTAACGAAGCAGAGGGGTGAAAAGAAAACTTGTCAAAATCCGCTAATACCCCATGATGACTATCACAGATTTTGCCGTAATTTGATCAGTTTCGGCCGCAGGTCACGTCGGGACGCGAAAGCCGGTGGCCCTTTTCAAATTTCTTCAATAGCAAGAATAAGGAATAAAAAAGAGTTGTTTCCCATTATTGAGGATTATAATTAATAACCACATCTTAGAAGTTAATCAAATGCAGCAGTAATTGAGCCAAACTGAAATGAAATGGAGAGACATAATGATTAAATCCAATCCATTATGAAGAACATCTTGATTTTCTTTTCTTTTCTTTTTCGGATCGAGAATAGGTTCATTGGTTCATTTTATTTCATTGCAAATGATATTGTAATAAAAAAGAACATAAAATAAAGTAAAATTCAAAAGGAAGATTTTGAATGAAACAATAAGGAGGATGTTCATACTACCTCATGTATATATCCATTATTACTTTTTCTCTTACACTGTTGTTCAAAATTCACTACATTCAATTAAAAGCTCAACTTTAAAACCATTGTCAGCACTTTTCTCTAAACACATGATGTACATTACAATCAATACAATATTAATTTAATAAAACAAGTTTACATTCCTTTCACAACTAATTCTTATTCAGATTGTTTTGATTGTTTTATGGAAAGGAATGATGATGGGAGAGAGGGCTTACCTAGAATCAACGCGTTACCCAACCTTTTGTGAAAACATACCCCTTTATTTACGAGATTCTGGGGGTAATGTTTGTGAAATAAACCCCTCTCATCTACAAACGGTCTGGTCCAATTTACCCCACACTTTGTGATAGCCCTATGACAATTCTACGAAAGGTCGCGTCATCTTCCGCTTTTGTCTCATGAAAGGTCGTGTAACGCGACCACCCGACCGCACAATGAAGTTAGCCAGGTGAGAGGGTGACTATGATGCTTGTAATTTATTACAAAAGTCATTACTAAAAACAAGTGAACATTTCCTTTCATAATTAAATCACTAAATGAGCACTTCTTTTGGAGGAGGGAATGGGAATAGAGGAGGGGGGGGGGGGGGGGCAAAAAGAATAGTTAAACAGTTGCCCTTAAGAAAGGCAGTGTATAATCATCTCTGATTTTCCGGGAGCTTCTAAAGCTTTGTGGTCAAAATCCTACTGCCCTTTGTCCAACTATGACGATGACAACCCTAACAATCATCTAGGCGGAAGACACTAGCAAGGATCACGAGCAAAGCAGTAGAGCGACTCATTCTACTTAACTTATTAAATGCCAGGACTGTTCAGCAATAAGCCTCAAGCACAGCTATCCACTCAGGACAGGATTTATTTTTATGTTAAGGACTAAACTGCACCACACGTTGCTCATCAAATTTGCAACAATTACATTTTTCTCTTATCGCTACATTGTGCTAATAAAATGTTAAGGTCTCTGAAAATTTTTTACAATTGGGTAAAGTCTTTGTCAAAAAAAGAGAGAAATGTCCAAATTTGAAAGCAAAAAACAATGATTTTGAATCTCTCAAAGTGTTGTCAATTTAAGAATATCAAATTGGCAACAAACATCTTTTTCTCTTATGGCTACATTGTTCTAATAAATGCAAGGTCTCTGAAACAATTTACAATTGGGAAAAACTTTATCAAGAAGTTGAGAAATTTCTAATTTTGACAGAAAAAAATGATTTTGACCCTCTCAACATGTTGCCAATCTAAGAATTTGAAAGGTTACTTCACTTTTAAAATCCTGGCATCAAGCACAATAATATGATCTTGCAACAAAAAAAAAGGCAGAATTTGCAGAAATGTTTTTTCCTGTTTTTATTCATGCATCTGGTATATTTATGAGGGTTTGGAATAAAAAGTTATTGAGCCAAACCTCAAACTGTGGAATGGGTGTCTTGGGAGGGCTTTAGTTTGGGCAAGAGTCTGAGGGTTAATGTGATTGGCAGTGAAGATATACCTGGACACATGCATGCCCTGTTCCTGACAACACTGAATCAGCTTCCTACTCTAATTATCTGCCTCACTGTTTATCACTTGTTCTCTCTGTCTCTTTCTCTCGTCTCTTCTCTCTGTATTTCTCTTTTTATGTCTCTTTGCTGTGCCTTTTCGAATCTCTTCTCTCTCTCTTTCTGTGTCTCTTCTCTTTCTCTATCACTTGTCTCTCTTTTATGTCTCTTTTCTCTCTCTTTCTCTGTCTCTTTTTCTGTCTCTGTTTCTTTCTCCGTCTCTTCTCCCTTTCTCTATATCTTCTTGCTCTTTCTCCTCTTTTCTCTCTTTCTCTATCTTTGCTTGCACTTTCTCCGTCTCTAATTCTCTCTCTTTCAATTTGTTTTGTCATTATTTGTCCCTTCTTCACTTTCTCGAGCTTCATTTCTCTTTGTTACTACATATATCTACTTCTTGGGATTATTGTCCTAGTCTCCTTAATTCTCTGTCTGTCTGTCTGTCTGCCTGTCTTTCTCTCTCTATTTACATCAATGTATTTTTCTCTTCTCACTTATCTTTCTAATCCGACATTCTATCCCTCTTATTTCATCCACCTCTCTTTCTTCCTTTCTTTGACTCTTCTCTTTTTTAAAATGTAAATCTCTCTCTCTCTCTTTCTCAACTCCATTTATCTCAATTTATGCCTTTTCTTCCTTTAGTGATTATTACATCTCCCTATATGCCTGTGTGAGAACAGCATGTCTCTCTCTCTCTCTCCCTCCTCCCCTTCTCTCTCTCTCTCTCTCTCTCATTCTACTCCCTCTTCACCTCTCTCTCCCCTTCTTTCTCTCTCTCCCTCTCTCTCTCTCTACCCCCCTCTCTCTCTCTCTCTCTCTCTCTCTCTCTCTCTCTCTCACTGAATCACATCCCCTCTGTCTCTCTCATACCATCATTCAACTCTCTCTAGCTATACCTCCACCTTGCTGTGTATCAGTCTATTTATAAAGTGGCTAAACCCTACAGTGACGGTGAGTCAGATAGATACAAAGAAGCTGAAATCTGGGTGATGAAAGTTGTCGAAAACTGATACCAAATTGAGCATGAAATGAAAAATAATTCAATCATTCCCGAATGTCAAACGAATGAAAGCATGGATGGAATTATTGAAGAATGTAGTTGTTCTGATGATTTTATACCAATGATTTCTTAAACTTGAAATAAAAAAAATAAAAGAATAAAAATCTAAAAACTGAGATAAAGACAATCAAGAGTTGAAGAAAAAGGAGAAATCATCTATCCCAAAATTATAAATCACCTGTTGGTTGTTTACTTCTCCAAAAAATGTAGTATTTAATATTAAAACTGTTTATGAAAGAATGCACTTAGTTGGTAAACCAAGACGAAAATGTGCATTTCTCTGACAATGTTTGAAAATGTCACCCAATATCAATATCTTGAAAACACCAATATCAGTATCATGAACCCTAGAAGCAATTATCTTTACAGCACTGGCTTTTCCTTTAGCGAATGCAAGTAAAACTATATGAACTGCCACACAATTCACCATTACTATACCAAAGCAGCTGAAAGAAAAAAAAAAATATATGTAGCTACACCCATAAGTTTCCAACTTCAACTTTTGTGAACACTACAAAATGAAAAGCTCAATATCATTCAAATTCTGTTCTAGTCAAATTTCAAATGATGCATTTGCGACAGAAAAAAAGGAAAAGAATAAGCTTACAATTCCCAAAAGTTTCCAACTTCAACTTTTGTGTACACTACAAAATGAAAAGCAAAATATCATTCAAATTCTGTTCTGGTCGAATTTCAAATGATGCATTTGCGGCAGAAAAAAAGAAAAAGAATTATCCTACGCTTCCCAAAAGTTTCCAACTTCAACTTTGTGAACACTACAAAAATGAAAAGCAAAATATCATTCAAATTTCTAGAGATGCACTTTCTGAAGAGTAAAAGAAAATAATTTCCTTGCACTTCCCGAAAGTTTTCCAACTTCAAAATCCTGCTTTGCTAAATAACTTAAGAGAGATGCATTTTCTGCAGAAAAAAAATTCAAAAAATGATCCTGCATTTCCCCACATGCAAATAGAAAAAAGAAACACAATAAGCCAAGTATAATTTGGAAAATGTCAGAAACTGTTAGTCTTAAATGTATAACATTGCCAACTGCGAGCAAGAAGTGTGTTATCTTATATTTTTCAACACAAAATTTTGCCTTTCCGGCCTTATCAGTATATCGTCTGTTTGGAGCCAGAAGGGTGTTAACTCATATACTTTAACTCAGAGTTAACATCCTTCTGGCTTCAAGTTCAAACAGATGATAAAATGTTATGCATCAAACTTAGAATATCTTGTGAAAATCAGTAACGTGAATCGAAGATATATTATTTAAGAACAAATTTGTTAAATGTTGGAGTAGTCCAGATTCTCGATAATTTTCTTACTGCCAAAAATGGCTGTCATTAATAATAAAAAAGCAATATTGTCTCAAATTTCCTAGTTTATAACTCAACTATACTTGGCTTATATCTTGAAAAAAGATTTAAGAGAAAAAAACCAAGAAAAATAAGAACAGAGAGATAGAAAATGTCTCCAAAATGATTTATTTATTTATTCGTTCCTTATTTTGTTGCAAGTTTGAATTTGAACAAGCAGACCTGACTAACATCAGTGAAAAATACAGGCTGGTAGTCAGTCCATGGGTGAAGCTAATTGTAACGAAAGAATCAAAATAATAAAAGAATAGACAGTCAAAATCAAATAAGAAGAAACTAAAATCACTAAAATAAAACAAATTATCCAACTAATAATAATGATACATGTAAGGTAGTTTGAAAATTATAAATGGTTCTATTTGAATTTTAACTAGGGTAATTGTATTTTTTAAAATTCTAACAAGCAAACATTCTATGAACAACATTTGCTGCATTTTTAAATGAGAAAAGACAGGGAAATAATGTGTTTAATTAATTTACATACCTCTATTTTGCTCTCTCTCTCTCTCTGTCCAACCCCCTCCCTCCCTCCCTCTCTCTCTGTCTCTTTCTCTCTGAACTGAGATGTATGTTAATGTTTCAAACGAGCCTTTGAAGCGGCCTTTTTTAATAGGGTTAGTAAGGTTATATCATGTCTTCTAAGCATGCAATTGAGTTACATGAATGCTATATATTTGCCTTCTTGCATAAAAGTTAGGAGAAAAATATAAACAACGGTTGCAATGCCACATTGAAAATATTGTCTGTTTAGCGACAGAAAGGCATTATCTGAGTGTTAAAGTACATGTATATGAATTAATGTTCATCTGGCTCCGAACAGAAAACCTTTTCTTGATCGACCGAAACCAAGAAATAGTCTGCTTGGAATCAAAATGACGTCAAGCTGGCGCTTAAAAGACAAAATTTTGCAGTAGAAAATAACCTAAATGGTGACATTTTTTTGTCACTTACATATCTTTAAATGGGAATGAAGTCTTAACATTCCAAACTTTTCTTTACAATATCATGAATTTGTTGATGGTATTGCATACTTTGAGCCATGTGGGTGTCAACTTTAAAGTTGCTCAAGCGTGGGTATATAGAGGGCAGCACACGAACGTACGCACGGGAGCATAATACCCGTTGGATCAGTGTTATGTAGCGATCAGGAGTGATCGCCAAGTTGTCTACTTCACAAACGACTATATACCCACGCAAGAACATCTTTAATATATACAACATGTACACTTTAACACAGTGTTAATGCCCTTGCTGGCTCCAAACAGAATATATGAAGGAAGTGAGTATCGAAAATCATTGCATTATTGGTATATCTTACCCGTTGCCCTTTGCCCTTTTTATGCTTCTGCCTGGGCGAGACGGGGGCGGAAGTGCCGTTGTGGGGGACACCCAGCCTGCCTCCGGAGGGCGAGCTGTGGGGCGTGGTTGACGTGGAGGAGTGGGGCGAGTGCTGGAGGGGGGCCACGGGGGCCATCTTGACAATCGGCCTCTCAAACTTGGCGATGATGTTCTTCAAGCCTTCCCGGCGCTTCTGGAAAAGCGACCTGACATCCTCCATCTTTGTAACAGCTTCTCGAACCAGGTTCTATATATGAGAGAATGGGGCAGAAACATTCAAAGGAAATGATTAATATTTAAAAAAACACTAAATGTACAAATTACAATTTATTTTTCTATTTTTGTTTGGTCCTAACAGAAACTATCCCATTCTTGACTTGAAATAAAAGTAACACAATAGCTGTTCACAGTTAATGGATGTAAAATGTAATATTATTCTCATAATAAGTATGCCACAGGGTAATTTTCTGTTCAGTATTTCTGACTATTAAAAAAAAAAGGTTCAAAAACACTTTGTAAAAGACATGTACATGCCTAACAGTAACTGGTTATCTACCATAATGCTACATGTTCGTTCATCATTGATACTGTCTAGAACATATTGTATATGTATCTCTACAAATTTCTACACTAGCAATTAGTTTAACTACAATTTTAGGTCCCATATGTTACTGACCATGTCTAAGTAAGATTTAAGTAGAAGTGTTTATTTTTAAATAGCCGAACAAGAGCCTAGACCAGGGGGTGTTTCATAAAGAGTTCATAAAGCTACGCATGACTTTACGAACGACTTGTATATGAAGAGCCAGATAGGATGCCCAAAATTTTTTCTGATATTTCCAATAACCTCAATTAAATTATGGCAAAAAATATACTTTGCATTACAAATGTTTTGTTATAATAAGAATGTTAATCTACATCTGCACAGTTCAACTTATAAATAATAATCAAGAATGATTGAGCATCCCATATTTTCATATACAAGTCGTTCGTAAAGTCATGCGTAACTTTACGAACAGCTTTATGAAACACCCCCCTGACCAAATAGAAACTAAAATGACCCAAAAAAAAATGTTAATATATGTTCACAAAGTAATAATGCTTAGTGATATGGAACACTGGACAGACAAAATATTTGAATTTGCTCAGATCTTTTACTGACATGTATACAATTCAAAATCAAATCAAATCAAAACAAACTAAAAATGTTAATCTCAAAATACTAATGAATGACCATCTAAGAGCGTAAAAATGTATCCACCATTTTGGACATCTACATTTATCTATTTTATCTATTAACAAATCAAAATCAAGTTGGAAGCATAGCAACATGCAAATGAAAATGGAAATCATTCAAAATGCAAATCACACCTAAAGTCTGAACAAGAATATGAAGGGGAAAATAAAAGTAAAATGCAATGAAATAATCAAATGGAGAAGAAGATAATTACATATGCAGTCAATTATACTCATTGATATAACATGCTGGAAACAAAAATGAATGAAATGTCATAAATGCAAATGTATAAATGAAAATTGCAAAATGAAAAATTGAGGAAAACAGAATAAGAATTCATAGTCAAGGATCAACATATAAGGTTAGAGAAAAGAAATATACACTTCAAAATTAAAACCATTTACATTTACCCCCCCTCCCCCCCCCCCGAAAAAAATCATTAGAAAAATAAAAATACTACATGTATGCTGTACATTAGTGTGTTGTTAAATTGTGTCCACAATTAATCTGAAATTTATTTAAAGCATTGACAATATAACAAAATACTTAAAGAAAATCAAACGACACACATGTGGTTGGTATTAAAACTATAACTGCTTTCATCAATTTGTTTCTTATCAATTATTTGAGCTTCTTTCTCTCTTCCCCTTCTTTCTCTTCTTCTCCTGCTCCTACTAAAACTACATTCTTCTTGTTCTTCCTTCAAACTTTTTCTTCTTCCTTTTCTTTTTTCTTAATACCCTTTCTGTTTCATTTTTCTTCTTTTCTCCTCTTATATTTTTTTCTCTGTCCCTCTCGTTCAATAAAATGAAAATCAATGTTAGAGATATCAGCAAACTAAAAACTAATAAAATAAAACAACAAGCTTGATTACAATATGTAAAGCTACAGATAGATGACAGAGGATAACAAAAAGCAAAGAGGGTGACAAAAAGTAAAGTGGAGCTTAAAACAAACTAAAAAAGAAGAGAAAATCAAATCAACTATAAAAAGGGTGCAAAGTTTCATGCATGAGCTCATGCCCTCGTGAATAATGTATTTTGTGGGAGGGGCTCAGCATCAAATCAACATAAATTATGCAAAGAGCAAGGTGCTGTACATATACCCGCTAGTTACCTTTTGCTGCTCAAACTTGGATGACAAAAAGGAGCGATTGGATTGAAGGAAGGAAGGAAGGAGTTGATGGTGGGGGGGGGGGGGGGACAAAGAGAAAAGGGTGGAAAGATAGTGAGATTTATAGACATAGAGATGGAATGTAGAGACAGTAAAAAAGAAAGACAATACCAAACAGATGAACAAATGGAGAATCAAGAGTGAGATAGGTAGCACACACACAAACAAAAAAATATATAAAGAGAGAGAGAGAGAGAGATAGAAAGAGAGAGATAGAGAGACAGAGAGAGGCAGAGAAATAGATCAGGAAGAAGGATGAATGGAGGGAGAGGAATGATAGAAAGATGGATTGGAAATTTTGAGAAACAAAGACAACCAACAAAACAAAAAAAGGAAAAATGAATAAGATAGAAATAGAAAATACGAAATTTAAGAAAGGAATATGGGAAAAGAGAAAGACAGAGATCCAAATTGAGAAAGTAATGATTCCGAAAGTGTGCATTCATGAAAAGAAAGAAGGAAAGCAAAGAAGAAAAGAAAATGAGAAAGAAATAGAAGGTAATGTCCCATGGAATCCAGGTTATTCGGGAGGGGAAAGATATAGACAAAGAACAATATTACATCAGATATACATATAAAAAAATACAACGTAGCATGGTGACATGATAATGCATACACATATACATGTATATAATGCAACAAAAACATGTTGAACGTGTAAAAACGGTATAAAAATCTGTGGACTTGCTACAAGGAAACTATCAATAGATTGCGTTTCTCACACAATGGTATCAGACCTGAAATCTACAGTATAGTGTATGCATCTTCTTTTTAAACAAAAAATTTGCCAGTTAGCCCACCTTAGCCCAGCTCATCGTATGAGCCCAGCTCATCGTATTAGCCTAACACAAACTCTGGATGGTCAAAAAGTCATACGCTAATCCAAAACATCCATAGCAAATGAAATTGATTTAGATTTTAGAGTCCCCCTGGCAATTTTTATTCAGGATATTAAGTAATTGATGAATTTAAGGTATGAAGCCTATGATTGTTGAAGAAGGCCGAGATTGTGGACTACAAATTTATTTTCTGCTTTGATTTCCTGGACAAGATCTTGGCATATGAGTCAAAAGTGTCATCAAAAGTTATTTATAGTTGCCGGCCCTAGCATGATACAGCATATATAAATAGTGTTGACACCTGAGAAGTTGCAATCTTGCACACACTACTTGTCTATGGTGTTGACAAGCTGTACAGAAGCATGTCTGTGCATTAGAATACTCTTATGTTGTGTGCAATATGAAAATTAGACACCTGTAGTGTTCAATTATTGAACAAACTAAATTATCAAATCGATCCATTTGACAGAAACACTTTTGTTATCATACACTCGTAGTAATTCTTTTCAAAATATCCTTTATTTGAGTCCTAAAATGATGTGAATAAATAATGCATGCTGATATTTATCGCTTTTTGTACATATCCAAAATGATGCTCCCTTCCCATATTTTTAAACTAAGACTTAGCATTTTGTGCAATTACCCAGCATGCAATTGGTGCAAAACTTCTCAAACCTGCCTAAATGTAAATTACATAATATTCATAAACCCACTTCCTTTTAATATTCAATCAAACTTATAATGAAACTAACGATTCATGGTGTATTTTCTTGAAGTACATGTATTTGTAAATCAGGAAATATAAATTCATTTTAGTTTCAAAATGATATGAAGAACAAATTCTGTAATTGGATAAAGCATACAATTTTAAGGTTCTTGGGTTTATAAATATAAGCCTATATATGAGTGCAAAAATCAATGAATTTTCTAGCATTTTTGCAACCCATCACCGAAAAAACAAAAGGAACCTTGAACATACATCCAGAATTTTAGCTGACTATTCACTTACAAATAATCTCTATGGAACAAGCATAGATAAAGAATAGAAAATCCAATACAAAAATATAAGATGAAAATCATAGGAGATAGAACAAAAAGCACTTGCAAATTATTACAACAGACTGATAAAAGAGCTACAGGATTTTATGCAATTAATCATATTTGTTTGGTGATTCCAGTTTATGATAAATTTTGTATTTTATCTAAGGTTTTCTGACTTCTTGACAGTTTTATTTGTATAAAAAAGTCACTAAATTAAAATATCAATTTCAAATTATTGTTTTGAAACCCGCTAGTAATTTGTTTCCAGTAGATTTGGCTAATAGGACCTCAGGCTTAAAGAAATAATCTTTACTTTCTGACAGATTATGAAACGTTGGCTGTTTGGAGCCAGAAGGGCATTAACTCATATGCTTTAAAGCCCCACTGCACTATTTATAGCTACTTGCTCAAGTTCAAGTTCAAGTTCAAATAAGGTTTTATTCATTACTTGTCAACAAGTCCGAAGACTAAAAATGCAAGTTTACATCAATATAAAAAACATTCAAAAACATAAAGATAACATAGTAAATGAGGACAAATATATAACAATGAATACATTTTTAAGTTAAAAACATTAAAGTAGTAACAAAAAAAAAAAACAACAAAAAAAGATTTAAAAAAAAAATACAAGATATGAAATATTGCTGGCAAAAATGAATAAATGTTGACATATAAACAAATAAAATGTATACAGATACTTGAATTCAATTAACTGTAACATTGGAAAAATTGTAATTAAGTATTGAGTATTGAATATTGAATATTGAATATTAAAAAGTATTAAAAAGTATTAAATAGTATTACAATCGGAGTCTTGGCAGTGTGCTAATCACAAGCGTGATATGAGTACAGTATAATGTATAAACATATTGCACATGAGAACAATGGAATTCCTTAGGTATTATTGGTTACAGTAAGAATAGCAGATAATTAAAGAATGTTGTACTGTAAAACATCATCAGAAGAGAATGAGGTGGAGAAGAGGAGGGAGAGACAGAAAGTGAGAGAGAGAAACAGAGAGGAGGAAGAAGAGATGAAGGGAGTAAGAGGAAGAGGCAGAGAGAGAGAGAGAGAGACAGACATAGAGCTGAGAGAGAGGGAATGGGAGTGAAATAAAGAATAAAGAGGAAAGACCAGAACTGAAGAAGAGAAAAGGAAATTTGAAAAGAAGCAAGTTCGAATAGAAAAAAGGAATGAGGGAGTGAGAGGAAGATAAAAGTACATGCAATATCAAAATACGAATGAATGGAAGAACCCGCTTTGCCAATCATCATGGCAGTTAATATTGCACATAATTATATTGCTGAAATACATGACATATAAAACATACTGATAATTACCTAAGCCTCAATTTATCATTATTTACAACAAAAAAATGGAATCCCTTAGGTGTTATTGGTCACAGTAAAAATAACATATAATTATAGAAATATAATTATAGAATGTTGTACTGTAAAACATCATAAGAGAAAAGAGGTGGAGAGGAGGAGGGAGGGACAGAAAGTGGGAGAGAGAAACAGAGGGGAGGAAGGAGAGACAAAGGGATAAGGAGGAAGAGACAGAGAGAGCAAAGAGAGAGAGAGAGAGAGAGAGAGAGAGAGAGACAGAGAGACAGAGCTGAGAGAGAGGGGGTGGGAGTGAAATAGAAATAGAGAGGAAAGATCAGAACTGAAGAAGAAAAGGAAATTTGAAAAGTGGCAAGTTCAGATAGAGAAAAGGGATGAGAGAGTGAGAGGAAGGATAAAAGTACATGCAACATCAAAATATGAATGAATGGAAGAACCTGCTGTGCCAATCATCATGACAATTAATATTGCACATAATTATATTATTGCTGAAATACATGACATACATTATACTGATAATTACCTAAGCCTCTATTTATTATTATTCAAAGATCGAGTGAAAGATGGGATGGGGGAAGTTCGGTACCTCGTAGTTCTCATCTTAGGCAAGGACAAATCAAGTGCATTTCGCAGAATGCGGCTACAGTCATTAACTCTGCTCTCAGGCAGGAGATGTCGATGAACCTTAGATTGGAGAAGTGATTCTGCAAATCTTAGAGAAAGGGATGTGCGTCTCTCTTTAAGAGAGGAGACACCAAGATGAGATTGCAGTTCATCATAAGTTCTAGAGTCAGGGTAGGTAATAATCCTAAGAGCTCTCCTCTGAACTCGCTCGATGCTTACAGAGTGGTTGTTTGTGATCCCTGATGTCCAAACAGGTGCTGCAAATTCTAGCACTGGCCTGATGTACAACATGTAGATAGTAGCAAGATCCTTGGTGGTAACACCATTCCTCCGAAGCTTAGTCAAGAGATAAAGTCTTCTGGAAGCGTTGGAGATCAAACGACTGACCTGCCCATCCCATTTGAGATCATCCTGAAGGAAGACCCCTAGGAGCTTAAGGGATGAGACAGCTTCCAGTGTGGTAGAGTTGATGTCAAGAACGATGGGTGGCGGGGGCTGGCGAAGAAATGAAATCTGCATAGCTTTACACTTAGCAGCATTCGGGACAACGTCGTTGTCTTTGCACCATTGGATCAACGAGTCTAGATGCGACTGCAATTCAGATGGATGCGTTTTCTTCAAGACCTCCACGATTGTCAAGTCATCCACATATTTCCATCGGTTATCACTTTCAAGAGCTGCATCGTTGATAAGGACCAGAAACAGGACTGGTCCGAGGCGAGTACCTTGGGGTACCCCACAGGTGATGGCTTGTTGTTGAGAGGATTTCCCATGGTAGCGGACGGTCTGCGCTCTGTTGGAAAGGAAGCTGCAGATAGTAGGGATGATAGAGTGATCAACACCTAAGTCGATCAACTTGTTCATAACAATGGTGTGGTTGACATGATCAAAAGCCTCAGAAAAATCCACAACGCAGAGGTTAGCGAGAGTGCCACCCTTGTCAAGCCCTCTGTGGATGGTGTCGAGCAGGCTGACCAAGTAGTGCGTAACTGACGATCCACGAAGATTACCAAACTGGCGGTTGTCAACAAACGGGCGGATGCTGCTCATGATCCAGTCCGCGAGGAAACCTTCAAAGATACGCGCTAACGTGGGTGTTATGGAGATTGGCCGGAGCTGATCATAGCTGGTGACAGGATTAGTTTTGGGAATAGCACTGATAGATGCGTGTTTCCATATGTCAGGGAAGCAACCCTGACTGAGGCAAAGATTGAAGAGAGTGGTCAAAGGTTCAGAAAGTTCATAAGCGAACTCCTTCAACAGTCCGAAGGGGGATCATTGGGATGACAGGCCTTGGCAGTGCTGATTCCACAGAGGCGCTTATAAACCCTTGCGCCCTCTATATAGCAAACAAAGCCTAATCGGTGACCATTGGTCTCCCATGATCCCCTTTTTCTTATGTTAAATTGAGAGCTGATTTGATGAGATATCCACCTGTCAGCAACCTTGCAGGGAGGTCTAATCTCTTGTGGCCGAACTAGTGCGGTGGGCTTTAAGACAGTGTCAATCCCCTTCTCGCTCTTAGCAGGCGATACCATATATTTACTGATTACAATTCAAGTGTATAAAGGGTGAAACATATAAAGCAATTTGACATTAATTAAATGTAATATTGAAATGCAAACAAGAACATGAACATACAAGGCAAAGAAAAAAACAAAAATTGGAAGACACAGAACAACTTGAAAATAGAGGAACAGAAAGTGCACGACAATCTTGATATAAATGTTTCCTATACATGTAGCTATTAAATTCATTAAACTTCATTCTATAGGATTGAGGAAAGAAATCACACAAAAGTTGAAAAATAGGTGCAATCACACAAATGCAGGTCGGGTCACGTATTGTTGAAGGGTAAACTAGGCAACAAAATTGAGCATTGGAATGATTGGAAGACTGCACAAAACATTGAAAATGATTTAGAAAAAAATCTTGATATCCTATCAAGTTTCCTCTTGTTTAAACTGAGACAAATTCACAAGAGAATGGTCAAGTTAAAAGTGAATATTCTTCCATTGGAAGACTTATGTTAAAACTACATTTGAGAAGAGTTTAATAGTGATCAGTTTGGATACACAACTAAGGTCAAAGAAAAGTGACAAGTTCATACAAAAATGCAGACAACTGTAATAAGCTAATGAGTGGATAGGTGTTGTAATGTGAAAGGAAATACAAAGTTACTAACACAATTGACGTGCGATGGCTCAGTGGTAGTGAGCAGATATGACCTTGAAACAAAGTCAATGTGCTAGTATCCTTTGGCATGGCATAATCCTCAATTACCATGTCCCATGATTAGGACATAAAGCTGCAGGTCCCCTAGCTGCTTATTGACAAGCATACATTTGCTTTCATCACAGTCGGCTAAATAAAGGCATCATCCTATGAAAGAAAATCTCAGAAAGTTCCCCGCTAGTATCCTTTGGCATGGCATTAATCCTCAATAACCAAGTACCTTGGTTAGGATATAAAGCTGCAGGTCCCATAGCTGCTTAACTACAAGCACACATTTGCTTACATCACAGTCGGTTATTAAAATAAAGGCATCATCCTACGAAAACAAATCTCAGAAAGTTCCCCGCTTACCTTCCCCTCGACGCTGAGTATATCCGCAAACATCTGACGGAACTCTCGCGGGTCGCTGAGCTTGAGTTCCCGAAACCTTCTCAGCTCCTCGTCGATCTGGCGCAGGTACTTCTCGGCTCCCTCTTTGGACTGGGACTGATCCATTTCCTGCGAGGCCAGAAGCTTCATGCCATCGCTACACCAATCATCGGCCTGGCACAGACGGGGAAGGGGGCAGAGAGAGTGAGAGAGGGAGAGAGAGGTGGGGAGAAGGGGGTCAGATAATTTTGTGTATTACCCTAGAGGAAATGGATTTTAACGAAGACTCGGTTATTCATTCCCAAAACAAAATTAAAATTTGGGTTATTAACTGAAGTAAGATTCTGCTATGTGGTGATAGAGGGTGAGGAACACACATGTACATGTTAAAAACAGGAGAGCTAAAGTAATATCAGTCTTGAAAGGGAGCTATACAACATAAAGAGTTTATTATTTACAATTTCATCATTTTAGACTCGATTTTAACCGCGACAAATATCATTGAATATTGTAAAATCGCATATACTTCCAATATATTCATTTGAACCAAATGCCGCCAACATGAATCACACCCATACAACGTCCTTTTCTTATTTACTATATTTAGTACTTTCACTAGTTGTTAATGAAGTTAAATGTAAGAAAGGAAACACATTTTCAATGTTCACTGTGTTGTTTCATGAAGCTGGATAAGAGTAATAATAAAATACAGCATTGATCATGAATGTATTTAAAAGTGGACTAACTTTAGTCTGATTTTTTAAAGATGTAAATGAGTGAAAACTGTGTGCAACAAAGGTCCTATGCAAAAGTATTTGGGGGGCTATTTTCTACATATTTTTTATGTTATTTCCTATGAAGTTAGACTAATTTTCTTCTATTTTCTTATGGAAAAAAAGAAATATTGACCCCCCCCCCAAAAAAAAGTTTAGGCTCAGCAAATTTTTAAAGATAGATGAAAGATATATTTAGAGTTTACTCTTATGAACATTGGCCACTGGCTTCTATTAACTTTTTATATTCTTCTTCTTCCAAAGTTGCCAACAGCGTTAATGAGTCCCCTCTGCTTGACTGCTGCCACCTGTAGTTAATTGATAGCCAGGAGCCAGCGTACAACCCGCCCCAAACGAGGTCAATCTTTGGAGGGGTACAAACGCGGGAAATAAAAGTGGAGGGGGGCAAACGGATACCAACTACAGGTGCTAATTCCTTCCCCCTAATGAATTCCGTACCCTCTCTCCGTTACCTCAGACAAGTGCGTGTACCGGTGTTATGACTGGGGTTGTAATTAATATAATTTGTTGCCAATTTGGTTGCTCGCTCTGCCTATCTGCACTGTCGCTCGCTTGCCATATGAGCATTTTTGCACAAAACACCTGGCACCGATTGAGAGAACTGCTTTCTGCAAAACTATGGTTAAGCAAAATTACCCATTTTTGGTCTCTATTTGCTCCATGACAAATTGCACTGGAAATATTAAAACAAATTGACTTTTGCACAGAGAGAGAGAGAGAGAGAGAGAGACTTAAGAGAGAGTTTAAGAAAAGAAAAGGAAGAACAGAGAAGAAAAAGGAAGACAGAGAGAGAGAGAGAGAGAGAGAGAAAGAGAGAGAGATGAAGAGAAGGAGAGAGAAAAAGAGTGAAAGAGCGTGAGAACCAAAAAAAAAAAGAGAGGGCAGAGAGGGATAGCGAGATAGAGAAAGAAAGACAGAGAGGGATAGACAGAAAGTGAGAGGGAGAGAAAAGAGGTACAAATAAAAAGATTGACAGGAAGAGAGAAAGAGAGAGAGAGAGAGAGAGAGAGAGAGAGAGAGAAGAGAATGAGAGAGAGGGAGAGAGAGACACACACACAAACACAAGGGGAGGGGGTGACAGAGAGAGAAAGAGAGAGAGAGAGAGAGAGAGAGAGTACCCAGACTAAACAGGAAATAGACAGAAATGGGTGGTCACAAGGTCATTTTTACAATGATACAGGAAAAATTATATTGGACCTTTATTATGACCTACGCAGTCACTGCCTTCACTATCAACTTCCCCCTGTCATTTCTTTTCTCTTCCTTTCGAGACGAACGAGAAATGGAAGGAAATGAATTGTGTCCTTTCATGATGTTCGTTCAAATGTCTGACTTGGTGAAAAACACACAAGATTATTTTGACGTTTGCTTCGGAACAATTCATTCAATGACATCCTGAACAAGTCTGAACTTCCGCTTTTTTAATCTCCAAACAGTAAACAGGTTATATGGTAAATCTTCTAGATTCCTGCAAAATGGGTTCTAACTATCTTAATTGTTTAAAAAATGTAATACTCCTGAATTAAACAGTTCTTTTTATACTCCATGTTTGATTTCAAATGATTTAGATATATGTGCATTTATTTATAATGTGAAGGCCATGTTCATGTATTATGTGCTCAATATGCATTCTCAATTATTATTATAACTCCTCCTTCTCCTCCTCCTTTTCTTCTTATTATTTCTTTATCATTATTACTATTATCATTATTATTGTTATTATCATCATCATCATCACATCATTATCATGATAATTTTTCATTTCATGAAAGGTATGAAGTGGAATCTGATAATGCAATATTTATATAATATTGGATGGCCTTGAGTGTGATACAAAAATATATTGCTCGAGCTATGACAATTTTGAACGAGTCAAAGATGAGTCTAATATTGTCTTAGCGAGAGCAATATATTCTTGTATCACTCGAAAACAAAGCCATACAATATCATTATTATTATCTATATTAGCCTGACTAGCGAAATAACCAAATTTGAGTTACCTTGGTAAATATGGCTTTGTTTTTCATGTGATATCGATATGATATCGATTTCAATAGTTGAAGTTCCTGGATGACTGAGCAATACGAAAACAATATTGGTATCCGGGTACTGTGCTAAGATATTGAATACACTAATTTATTGTACCACTTAGAAGGCTTTTATATAGATAATAGTAACATTTCTTTCTTCACCGGCCTCTCTCACCTTTTGTATCCTTTGGTGCAGTTCCAGAGACCTCTCCAGCATGGTGCGTCGGTTGGCGAGGCTGTCCTGCAGGTCGGAGGTTCTGCTGACCAGCTCGGTGCACTTGGGCTCGACGATGGCCACCTCCATGGGGTACTTGTCGTTCTTCATCAGGTCCTCGCCCGTCTGGGTCAGCTTGTCTGATCGGTCTAAGGCCTCCTGCAGGTCGGGAGAGACACACAAACAGACAATCAGACAATGAATAAGACATACACAGAGACAAAGATAACATATTAACGTAAATTGTCTGTTTTAATAATAATAATAATAATATTTAATATTTACATAGCGCACATATCCACCTTGCAAGGTGCTCAAAGCGCTCCAATATTACCCCGGCTCTGCTAGGCTACCGATTTAACACAGTATCAATGCTCCTCTGGCTCTGAACAGATAAAATATCATTACTATATGCTACACTGTATTATGATTAATATTATGAATACTTTTGCTAGCGTTACGGCACATTTTACATTAACAATCATACTGTTGCTGATGCTGCTACTACTGCTATTGCTACTACTACCACTCCCGCTACTATGCTTTCTTAGCAGTCAGGTAAAAAACCACTACTACTACTGGTGCTGCTACTGCTGCTGCTACTACTACTACTACTGCTACTGCTACTACAGTTACTACTACTGCTATTACTACTACTGCTACTACTACATGTACTACTGCTACTACTACCACTGCTACTCTTTACTACTACTTCTACTAGTACTGCTATTCCTGCTGCTACTACTACATGTACTATTGCTACTACTAATACTGCTACTACTACTACTGCTACTACAACTACTGCAATGACTACTACTACTACTACTACTTCTACTACTATACTGCTTCTACTAGTACTGCTACTACTACTACTACTACTGCTACTATATTACTTCTAATACTACTACTACTATCAATCATCGTCATCATCATAACAATAATAGTAATAATGATAACAATTATGATAGACAGTCATCACACAAAAAGATTTATAGTTACCTTGCTCTCTGCTTCTAATTCTGCATGTCTTTCCAAGAATGTGTTGCATTCTTCCACAGCATTGCCTATGCTGCTTTCTGGGTTGATCTTCTCTGAGATATTTTCTAACAGTAATAATACCTGTTCAAAAAGAAAACACATAAGAAACACTGTACTGTTGAATGATTTTGTTCAGAAAAGGGATAATACTACAGTATTGCAGGGTGACTACACACAATCAAGTTTGATACAATTTGTGTTGTGCTAGAATAAAATATGTTGCAATCATGTTACGTGCCAATGTTAATAATATGAATGAGAGAATATCCATCATATCTGTATGCAATCTTCATAAGATATCCACAGATTTCATTATTATTGTAATTAAAGGGGGTGTACGCAGCGTGGCAAATACTGGTTAACGCCATATGCGACTTCTTTTGGACAACTGCACGTAAATGAATGGACTTGATTAACGCTTCAGTTTCATGTATGTTGCACGCAAGTGAATACTGCGGTTGTGTCGTCCGTAGTCGTATTATACCTGATTTGCCCAGAGTCAGGCTACAGGAAAGACACATTGTCTTGTCTTGCTTCACCCCCTTTAAAATGACGAGCTAATTGCTCCAGATTAATGATGCTATTAATCCCATTCTACTAAGTTGTATTACCCAATGTCATGTTATTTGAGATCCAAAGGACTTGGCTCTGCTTGACTTTCTGCCAATTCGAAATCTGAAAACATTTCCGAACTAGAGATACAAGCAATCAATGAACTAGAGCAAATTTCATATTTCATCAACTTGGGAAATGTTTAGATAATTTAATCACCCTCAGGCGCCAAAGGTATTCCTGACCTAAAAAACAAAAAACCAAGTCCCCCCCCCCCCTCCCAACAAAAAAATGACACTGATTCTAGAGCTGTGTTTTCATTATTCTCTTGTCTTTGTACCAGGCCCCTGTTTCATAGAACTTGTTAACAATAAAAGTTACAAATAAGTGTTATAGGCTACTGAAATCATGGCATTTGATTGGCTGACAGCAAATTTGCCATACAAATTTAGCATTTGTTATTGATAGCAAGTTTTATGAAACAGGGCGCATTAAGTTATACTCTCTACATCTACAGCATGTATAATGCTGAGGACGTCTTTCAGCACGGTTAATTTCTGCACAGGTGCCTGGTGGAAGAGTCTAATTACACGCAAGAAGAACCGTGGCAACCCGAATTCCCATCTTGCATTCACAAGAATGAATAAAAGAGGGGGCACTTTCAGGTACATGTAGCTTTTCATTGTTACAAGCTCATAGATGTAAAGTATGTATTTCTTAGAGGGCTTGACAGCATGAAAAATAAATTAAAAGGGCCACCCCCCAAAAAAATCCAATTCTAGAACATAAATGTATTCTTTGAAATATATATATAATATATTATATATAAACCAGACAAATTATTATTATTATTATTATTATATATATATTTTTTTGTAGGAGGGGGAGAGTAGACGGGGGAGAGGGATGCCTAGTTGATTTCAATGCAGTCCTAAACAGAGTTGAAAATACACAGGGGCATAGAGTGAATCCCCCTCCTTCTCCCCCCTCCTCTCCCCTCCTCCCCTCCCCCCTAGGAATTATATGTACATGTATTTTTTTTTTTTTTTTTTTTTTGGGGGGGGGGGGGGGGGGGCTTAAGGCGGCAGCAGCATTTAGGGTTCTTGCACTAATTTCCATCATGTGCCTTGTTTGAATATATATATATATATATATATTTTTTTTTTTTTTTGGGGGGGGGGGGGGGGGTTGAGCCCCTCACCCCCTACCACCATAACCTCATTTGTATGTGCATGTGTCACAACATGGTGTCTATTATACCTGTAGCGGTAAACGTCTCATGATAGGATATTAATAACATGCCATGAATGACGGGCAAATGGCTATACCGGTAATGTTGTCGGTGTCTTGAAAGGTGACATTAATAACCAGTAACAGGGCATAAATTGGTGTTTTATCATGGGACATAAATATGCTTTTGTACAGTATTTCTAGCTAATAAATATGCTTTTGTACAGTATTTCTAGCTAATGCCTCTCTGACAATAGTAAACATTTATCATTTACAAGGTTTATCGTAATTAAGAAAAAGACTAATGAAGGATTAAGTAAAATTATGTATCAAACAATATGCTCAAACTATCATATCACTGATATGCTTCTGATATCCCAGTTTCTACTGAATCATTTTATTCCACTGTACACTATAGGGTTAATTACTTCTACAACTAGAGAGGACCATGGATTGAAATCATACAATTCTTAATTGCTTTCTGAATTTCTTTTGGTAAAAAAGTGATAACAATATTGCTGTTCAAAATTGCTGCGTTGTCTTCTTTGTCATTTTCTATTGATATTTTGAAATTGAAATCCATGTCACTCTCTAAACCCCTACCTATTTATATCTTCAATATTTTGATTGGCAGCAGTAGGTAACGACAATAGAGGGCAGCAGAGCATGATAGCAGAAGTTCAAAATGTCTGTGAAAACAATGAGTGATATCATCAGCTACATCTCAAAAGAAGCTGAAATTAAAAATGGAGAAAGTTTTAGCAGGAGCCGCGAAGTGTTTCTGTGTTAAATGTGTTCATGTTTTATTGTAAAATTTGCATCTGAGGAACTAACACTTCAACAAGCTCTGCTTCAAGTTAGTTCCTCTTTTCTCGTGCTATTTCCACTATATTTATTTATGTTGTGATATAATTATTTTTGTATTATGTTTTGCATGAGAAATAAAAATCAATCAATCAATCAACTGTTGAACTGTGCCATCATTCTCTTTCTTAAAATAAGGTGATAGTGTATTGATAGGATATGACGATCAGACTAGAAGTAGACCTTGAATCTTTATTGAGTTTTTGTTCAAAATGATGTCGAAATACAGGTACAGTATCTGTTTTGTAAACCGTTTAGACTAGGAAATAATTAGCAACCTCTTGAATACATCAGCTATGCAGTTTTGCTATAGCTTTATTATAAATCTCGATAGTCTGAACAGGGGGTATGTAACTGATTGTCTCAACATCCATGAGAGGAAGTGATCGGGGTGACTAACGAAGCACTGATCGACCTCATTGTTGTGATCTGCCACAGAGTAAATCTCTCTGTGGTTAGTGATATTTTGAGGACCCGCCAGCGGTGAAACAAAAAACTCAACCATCGATAGTTGGCGCCTGTGGGACGCTAGACGGTTCAGAGGCGATTTCCATGAAAGCTTTCAAAGAGGTCTGAAAAATGGGATGACATTTGCGCAAAAATGAATACGGTCTGTACAAATGAATGCTTCTTGAGAGCCAGGCATTAAAAAAATAAAAATAATAATAATAATACAGTCGAACCTGCTTTAGTGACCACCTGTCTACAAAGACCACCTGTCTACAAGGACCACATTTTTTGTTTCCCTTGAAAATGGTTTCTCATTGAAACATGTATTTAAGGAACCTGTCTACAAAGACCACCTGTCTACAAAAGCCACTTCTGTGTTTCCCTAGGGCGGTCGCTATAGACAGGTTTGACTATATTAATTTGTAAAGCCCAATAACTACTGGTATGTGGATATATTTATGTACTATATTGTAAGTCGTTGTTAAAGTTTTTGTAAAGCCCAATAACTACCGGTATGTGGATATATTAATGTACTAAGTCGTTGTTAAAGTTTTTGTAAAGCCCAATAACTACCGGTATCTGGATATATTAATGTACTAAGTCGTCGTTAAAGTTTTTGTAAAGCCCAATAACTACCGATATGTGGATATATTAATGTACTAAGTCGTTGTTAAAGTTTTTGCGTTAACACCCGTCTTGCTCTCAGGGATTTTAGAGTAGTGATCTATCTTATTCTGAATCAAATAAAGGCTTATTAAGAGAGAGAAGGGCATAAAGTCTATGTTAAAATGTTTAGTTAACACCCTTGACTACATTCCATTTGATGCTAGGAATTTTAAAAGGAAAATAAGTTTTAAAATCCTTACCTTGGCAACAAGTTGAGAGATTACAAATCATTAAACCAAAAAATAAAAACTGAGCATTTCGACAACATTCTTGTCCCTATTTATTTTTTTCAGAAACATTAAAAACGTTTTATTTAATCATTGTAGCGATAATTTAAAAAAAATATTGTTGCCAACTTGAAGAACAATATGTGATCGATTCAGCCCTAACGATACATCCTGTCCTGAAAGGGTTAAAGTATATGAGTGAAAGCCATTATGACGATTAGCAGATTGAGATACATGTTTATGAGCAGGTTCTTTCTGTATTATCAGGAAGAGTTTGAAAACAGCTCATCACTCAAGACAACCTCCCCCTGTTCTTTGTTTGTGCAGCCTTGTGATTCAGCAGAAAAACCTTGTTCATGATTCTAAATTCGGAATTATGATAGCATCATCGCGGTGGAGCACTTATTAACTTTTCACGGAAAATGGGAGATGAAAGACATTCTGGGACTCACTTCAGTCTCGAATGTGAGAGGAAATGTGACAGGTGTTTTTTTAAGTTGATCGATTAATGTTGACTCCTAATATCCCACTAACATATAGCCAAGGCCAGTTCACAACAGATCAAACAATTTATTACATTGCCCTGAATAACAAAAGATTTTTTTACATTTTTGATTGATTTGAAATCGTTCCAGAGCTGGTTAGGTGGAATAACTGAGGTGTAAGAAATAAAAATAAACTTTTTATGAAGCATCTTTCATCATTGAATAGATGAGTACATGTATGAGAGGAGAGCTGCACAAACCCCTAAATCAAATGGTAAAAAGTGGAGAGAGAGGGAGAGAGGGCGAAAAGGAGAGATAGACAGAATAGAGAGAGAGAGAGAGAGAGAGATAAAGAGAATGAAAAATGAAATGAACTTATGAAAAGAAGATGACACAACTCCATCCCATACCCTTTTACCCTTTGCTCCCTCACAGTTTATCCACCCAGAAATAAAGAAGAGCTGAATCCTACTTTCCTGCTGGGGCTCGAACCCACAACCTTTGCATTTCCAATCAAGTGATTCCACCACTCGACCACGACACCTCTACTGCATTCACCTTAATGCGATGCAGTCCCCGTCCCCCCACCCCTCACCCAACATTCTCCATAGACAGCTATTAAACAGTCTTGATGATTCAATCAACTGCATCAGGGCGATACCAACAAGTTCCGAATCTGGGACAAACACGCCAAAATTTGTATCACCAGATGGTCAACTCCAATCTTCTGTTTTTCACTCATCTGTACAATCCAATTCTTAGTCTTTACGGATGATTTAGTTCCCTCTCATCGCACCTTTGTCGAGCCTTTGCGCTGTTGTTTGAGAAAGTAAGATGGGGGCTCATGAGAATGAAATTCATCTCTCCAAATTTTCCTTGGAGTGACTCCATTGTTGACCACTCACTTACGTGTTGTTGGTCTAGACCGCATCGGGACCCAAAGGAGCGACAGTTTCTTGGCGAATCCAAGTTTTTTGTGGCTGAAGTTGGTCCTTGTCCAGAATTTTGGTCAGTGTAAAGTAGAAATCTTGTACTGTATTTGTGTTTTGTTGTTGTTGATGACAGAGAAAGGTTTTTGGCCAGTGCAACAACTTGTGGCAAAATATCCAACCATGGAATACGCTTTGCTGTCAGTGTGTGCTTTCAAATAGGATTGGATTCCATAGAACAGCATGTACCGTACATGAAGGGAAGGGAAGCACAAAAAACAGAATGGGAGAGTTATGCTACGGTCACAAAAGTTCGTACGAACGATAATTTCATACGAATCTCCGTTTTTCCATTGTCTGAAAATCATTCGTACGGCGTTCGTAGCAGTTCGTAAGGGCATTTGTGACCGAGGCTTTAACAAGCAACAATTCATAACTTTTCTAATCATTAATGATTTTGTTCACACTTTCACCAATCTGTGTCTCTGATTTTGCAGGTCAATTAAACTTGTTAGGAGTTTAAGTTGCCTTTTAAGAAAGTTAACCCATCTGCTAGTGGTCTGCTAGTTACCATTGCAAAATGGGGTTGTAGACCTGGACCTAGACCTGGTCCTGGTTTGGATAACTGGACCTAGACTTACCACTTTGAATTCCTCTTCGTACTTCCTGACTTTGAGGCAGAATATTAACCTGGATTCTTGGTCGCACCAGGTGTCGTCAAACTCCTTCTCCAAGACTTCCAGTTCTTCTAATAGTCTATCAAGGAGGAAAAAAAGAAGGATATTATTGTTTATTGCCATTTGGTCTACAGCCAGTTCGTCTACTACCCAATTGGTCTATTCCCATATGGTCTACAACCAGCTCGTATACTATCCACATGGTTTCATAATCATTTTGTCTATTTACCATTTGGTCTAATGATCATCTAGGTTAATAGTCATTTGGTCTAATCTTCAATAAGTCTACTACCTATTTAGTCTATTGCTCATTTAGTCTAATTTCCAGTTTGTCTGATCCCCATTTCTGTCTAATATCTATACGGTCTAATAAACCTTTAAACCCTAATAATAATAGTCATCAAATTATTATTAGACCTTAATGATAGTACACGGAATGACATCACACTCCGGGACTCTATAATCACATCATACTACAACTTTAAACAATACTTGCTTTCTTTCCAGGAAGAACCCAACTCCACTTATTCAATTAATGGAATATTTTGTCACAAAGCGAAGACTTTGTCCATTGAAATCTGGTTATCTGACATTAGGTATGGTGACATTTGCCCTCAGACTTTATGTTGTAGAAGATAGTGGGTTAGTGTAGGGTTTACAATTGGGTCTCATGGAAATTTTACGGTAACGGTTAGGGTTGGATATACTGTTCGTACCAGGAGTGAGGTTAGGACTTTGGTTAGTGTAGGAAGCTGTTGTACAACTACTTGATAGGCTTATGATAGAAATGAAAGAGAGATGTTTACTTTTCTATTGCACATGTTGTGAGTAGTTTATCAGGGTTCTTCTCCTTCCCATCGCCGGTGACCTTTCGTAGGCAGCTGAGCAGCGTCTGACCGTACTTGACCGCGGACGTCAGGTCCTCCTTGACCTCCATGCGACGCTTCCGCTGTTCGATCAGCAGCATGGTGGCGTTCTCCGCATTATTGGGCATCTCCATCAGCTGCAGCTCCTCCGTCAGGGCGCGCACCGTCGTCGACCGCTCCCGACAGTTGCTGGCGAACCGCTCGATGGCCTGAAGGGCAAGATAAAATGAAATATGCAAAATTTGAAAGTGATGAGAAAAATGTCCAACTTTTATTGGTTTTCATACATTTAACCACAATATAAAAACAAAAGGGAAAAGAAGACAGCATGTGGCATTTTTTGCACTGTCCCCTAGGTCATTAGCTGGAGTTCCTCAGTCTGGGCGCGAACGTTGAATGCTCCCGACAGTTTCTGATAAATTTCTCAATGGCCTGATGAGAACGATGCAGTGACATAAAAAAAATGCAATGAGTTAAAAAGAAGGCAAAGGTGATTGTAGGCAGGGAGGAATCAAGCTTAAAAGAGCTACAATTGTACAAAGGTGCTTTAAAAAATGTAAATAAATCAAGAGGAAAACTTTTATTTTCAGAGGAAGAAGGCAGAATAATAATGATAGCTCCTGAATTCAAAAGAGTATTTTAACACTAATACTTTTGCATAATCATACACATAGAAAATAATAACTGGAAAGTAGTCAAATGTCTTCATGCTGTTTAATTGGATATACAAATTATTTATATTTTAGGCATTTTCACCCAAAAAAATATGGCAGTCATCTTGGACCTGAGAAACCAAACTACAGAAAGCCTCCCCCATATCCAATGAGGAAAAGTGTTATTGACAAGTAGTGCCTGGGACTAGACTTCAAGCTGTAGGTCCCCTGGGAACATCAAGCTGTAGTTTCCCCTTGGAGCTCCAATAAAAACATGTCGAGATCGAACTTGTAAAACCATCCATATCATGACAAATGGCTGTGTCATCAAACAGGTTCAATTAAATTTCTTTTTATTACTTAACAAGGGTGACAAATTAGTTTCCGATTATTCCCATGAGCTTGTAGCAGGTCGTCAGACGAGTGCAAGAATAACGAGATGATATGATAATTTTCTGATTTGTCACCAAAGTTCATAACCTTTCGTAAGAAGTTAGTCTGCTTGTTGCTGACAGTTTTCCATGGCCAAGCTATACATTGTATCTCAAATGTCTTTTAGTACTTTTAAGTGTATATATGCAACTGCAAACCTCGCTCAAAAATGTATGATGTACTGGCACTAGCTTCTCTGACTTTATAGCGATAAGTTACAGTAATGGTAATTTTGCACATATTCCATGGGGATTCAAGTCATGTTTAACATTCCTAGAGTACATAAGTGATATTTTTGTTAAATTTATGTGCAGAATGGATACAGAAAAATGAGGGGATGACATCATCGACTTGCTAGTTTGCATAGAGACTATGTGATACATATCACTGTTCATGAAATAATGCTTTTGAAATTAAATTTAAAATTCAAGAATTTCTCTTATTTTTTGTCTGATTTTGAAGAAACTTTCACCGTATTCTTTGTTTAATTTTTCTCTACTTATTCAATTCAACTTGCCCTTTAAAGATTTGAGATTCAGAAAAGAGTTAAATTTATTCAAATTAAAAGACTATTTACCGGTAGTTATCATACTTCTGACAATTTTGATTGCATTATTGTCATATATTGTAATTGAGATATTAGTTGATTGTTGTAAAGAAATTTGTAAAACAAAAATTTAAAAAGAATTCTTAACAACAAGATATAATACCCTTCTGGCTCCAAACAGACAATATTTTAATAACCTTAAATCTAAACAAAGGGTCTGATTCTGCAGACTACTAGTCTGTCTGACCATGTCCATATGGACAGTAGTGAGAGGGGACACGATTTCCCTTCCTCTGTTTCGACCAATCACGTCTCATTTCCTCGTTTGTCGATGACGGTCAGCTGATCAACGGGGCTCGAAACTATGTCTCGGGTTTTAAAAATGAAAGTCTGAATTATTTTGATAGAAATTCTCTGAAGTCTCGCTGTACTGGTGCTTGTAGAAGGAAATAACTAGCTTAAAATAAATGTATCTGGTAGTATAGCTACAAGGTGCCCCCTTTAATACCAATAGGTTAAAGAGAGAGAGAGAGAGAGAGAGAGAGAGAGAGAGAGAGAGAGAGAGAGAGAGAAAGAGAGAGAGGGAATGAGAAAGAGAAAACAAATTATTTCCTTGTACAATAAAATATTTCACACCCATAACTATGCCATTATATGAGATCATTTCACTTGGATACCTAGTCATCTCATTTTTCTTTTGCTGTACATCTAGTTGTTAAAGTAGCATTACAGATTGTGTTGAGCCTTTGAAGACATTTAAATGTTCTTTCATGATATATTTCTAATCTTATTGAACCTGACTTATATTCTCAGATGTGATCTCCAGACTTGATCTTCTTAAACTTGGCAACATTCTTTCTAAAAATCCCTAAAGGAAAGATTTCATTTCTCGTCCTCTTCATGTTCCTTTCCACTTCCTCTTCCCTTATATCAGATGGCTCTTAGGCTGTATTCATAATATTTAGCTCATGATAATTCTTTCGAAATGCACTTGGTTTGAATAACACACTGCTTGTTTATAATCTCCTTTGCTCTTGGTGATCTCACATATACATGCTCCATCAACAATTGCTCCGGCCCCTACTATTAAGTATACTATTAGAGTTATGGTTGTCATTGGGTGTTAGGTTAGGATAGGCTTAGGTTTAGGTTTAGGGTTAAATTAAGGTTTAGATTTAGGGTTTGAATTAGGACTAGTGTCGGGTCAAGGGTTTGAAGTTAGGAATTCAGTTACTGTAGGATAATACCGCGGAGCAATTGTCGCAGGAGCATGCGTAGCACAACCTATTTTTTTAAAGGGTAGTTTATAATGCATCACATTACATGTTCAGATCCAGAAGGGTATTAAGTCTTCATGACAGTACATTTATATGAGTCAATGCCCTTCGGGCTCCAAACAGACGATATGTGTAAAAGCCCTAATTAAATATCCTCCGAATTTATGTGATCATGTACTTCATTTTTCCTTTACTGTGTAAAATGCAATGTTTTAAATTGTACTTGCTGTTTTGTAAATGAGATGTGGAAAAATAAACTTGAAACTTGAAACTATAAAGGGATTTTAATCGCCTCAGGCCAAATTAGAGAGAGAAGCTTGGAAGAGGAGGGGGAAATCAGAAGCAGGGTTAAGGGAAGGGGTGAAGCAGGACCGGAGGAAAAGGGGTCAGGGAAGCACCCCGAGGTGATGGTGTGGCTCTTTCCAGGGTGCCACGATGGCTAGCTTACCCCTCCCTTACCTCCTCCTAATTCCTTCTACTCTGTGTGTATAGTTACATTTATTGCTACTTTCAGTCTAATTGGTGCGTTACTTGAAATACAATTCATCTATCGAGAATAAATGGCAATATTATTAACCCCCATCTCCATCTTTGTAAAGGTGTTGAGGTCACCAGACTACAGATCACAAGGTACAGGATTCAAATCCTTGCCACGACACTAAAGTCCTAGCAAGACATAAATACCAAATACATATGACCCTAAACCAAAAAGTCTTATGGGGTGAGGGAAATACTTTGTGCCCCTACCAGTAATGTAACCACTCATATTATAAGCAACTTATAAGTACCACCAATCTATTCTCAAGTCACTAAGTAAACCCAATGCAATACAAACCCCGCTCATTATAAGGGTAATACTTTACACCCCTTTACAAGCACCCCTTCCACTTCTTTATCCTCTTTTAACATCTGTTGTACTTTACAACACGAGTTACAATAAAGAAAACCTACATGTAGAATTAAACCTATAAAGTATTTTACTAAACTCTTTGCCTGCTTTGGTTGACTTATAAAACACATGATGGACTACACATTCGACCTTTGTCACACGTACAATTTACATGTACATAATACCATGTGTTCCAAATAATATGGCAGTCTGAGACTTGTTACCAATATCAAGTAGAGTTCGTGCCAAGTTCCTATGTATACCCTCTTACGAAAACCCCACCACTCATAGGGGTAATACTCTACACCCCTTCAAACTCTTTACACCCTCACTTCCAGCACCTGCTGTACTCTATGGAGGAATGAGTAAAGAGGAAGGTTCTCTCTCCTGTAACAGGAGATTGTAATCCCATATTAAACATAGGGGTAATACTCTACACCCCTTCAAACTATTTACACCCCTTGCTTCCAGCACCTGCTGTACTCTATGGAGGAAGGAGTAAAGAGGAAGGTTCTCTCTCCTGTATTAAACTGGAGATTGCAATCCCATATTAAAGAGTTTATGCCAAGTTCCAATGTTTATCTTACAAACCTCACCCCACTCAAAGGGGTAATACTCTACACCCCTTCAAACTCTTTTTACCCCCTCGCTTCCAGCACCTGCTGTACTCTATGGAGGAAGGCGAAAGAGGAAGGTTTTCTCTCCTGTAACTGGAGATTGCAATCCCAAATTAAACATAGGGGTAATACTCTACACCCTTCCAACTCTTTACCCCCCCCCTCGCTTCCAGCACCTGCTGTACTCTATGGAGGAAGGAGTAAGAGGAAGGTTCTCTCTACTATAACTGGAGATTGCAATCCCATATTAAACAAGGTGACTGGCAACTTTCTTAATATCCTTGAAGAGGAAATCAAAACTATAACAAAACCAGCGTTCTCACGTACAGCCGCAGGCATCGGTGCGGAAATTTTCCGATATAAATACAATTTTTTTTAATTGTCACCCTCCTGTTGAAGTCTACAAAGTGGCATTTTTAGTGTCAACATTATATATTGAAGATCATAGATTTAAAAGTGGATTGAAACAAAAACACAACTGTAAAGACGTTCAATAAATCAACTCACAGGCAATTTAAAATACCCTATAGCTATGTTATTATATGGTATTATATCCCATAGAAACCATTACCTTCTGTAATACGTCACTGAAATGTTCGCAAATTGTTATTTCTGTAGGTGAGGGACAATTAAGGCGGTTGAAATGGATATCACTTTCCAAAAGTCTTCGTACTTGTGTAGTTTATGCTAGAGTAGAAGGCTACGTAAAAGCAACAAATAATTTTTTGCATGCATCAGTTTGAACAAATATGCATTTGTATTCCCGTTTTAAAAGAAAGGAAGAAATTAGGGTT